AGGTTGCGATCAGATTCCAATTTTATTTCATGGCGGTGGTGTTTTTAGTGAGTATTTGGCGCTTCTTTTCGTTGGTGAGTCCCAGCCAGAATTTTGATGGGTCAAACCACAAAACAAAGACATTTGTTTTTGTTTTGATAGCAATGGTGTTATGCAGAATTCAGCCAATCATTAAATGCGTTATAGATATATATATATAGGTCATACGTATGCATTAAGTCAATCCAGATAATTACACGGCTTTAACGCCCCACCCCCCCCCATTTATAGAGAACGGTTAAAGCATAGTCCATTACGTGATATATCTTAAAAATATTAAAAGGTAATTTTAACGTTAGGGTTAGGATTAGGGTTGGGAAGGAGATCAAGGTTATATTTAAAATTGACTTCCTGACATTTTTAATTAGTGCTCCAAGAAAGATTTAAGCACCTGTTTTCAGTATTTTTTCTTTTTTGTCTTTGCTTCAAATTTGTTTTACCGAGTTGATTAAAAATTTACACATCATCATTACTGATCCCCATTTATAGAGAACATCTAAAGTCTGGTTCATCTGATAATCAGTCCAAAACACAAACCAATAAGGATGAGTAAATTTTTGATCAACTCGGCAAAACAAATTTAAAGCGCAGGCAAAAACATGAAAAATAACGGAAAACAAATGCTTAAATCTATCTTGGTATACTAATAAAAAATGTTGGGGAGGCAATTTTATATATTACAACTTTAATCCTAAGCTTAAAATCAATCTTTAATTATATAGCAGTATCACGTGATGGACCAGGCTTTAGACGTTTTCTATAAATGGAGATCCATTAAAGTCATATAGCTACACATGATTTTGAATTCGATTCATATTGAAATCATGTGACCAAAATTAAATAACCAATAAAAATACTAGTGTTGGCTTATTAGTAACAATGAATTTTAATATTCTTCAAATTAATAAATCAATTAAAATTTGATATTGACATTATTAAAATTGATTTTTCAAGATCACTTCTATTCAAACTTCTATTTTATCAAAAAACTTACTGAATTAAATCACAATAAACTCAAAATAGAGAAACTGAACATTTAGGAATTTTATTCTAATTAATATTAATAATTTTGAAAAATGTTAAGAAAATCAATTAACTTTGAATGCTTATATTTCTTTTAATATTCAATTAATTTTTGTGGTCCAAATACAAAGAATATTTATTTTGATTAGATAAATCAAATAAACTTGAGTTTATAAAATTTTAAATACAAATTAATAAGATTTATAATCCATCTATTATTTTATAATTTTTCATGTATTGATTTTGAATATTAATATTTTTACTGATTTATTAATTTAAATACAAAATATTATAGAATTATAGATTATAAAGATATATTTATATGTTCTAGAAATATGAATATTTAATAATATCATACAAATTTAATATGAAATTAAATCAAAAATTAATCAAAATTTGTAATAGCACAAATAAAATAAAAAACTAGTCTTATTTATTGTATTGTTACAGTAGTAACATAAAAGTCACAAATTCAAAATAACCAAAAAACATGAAAATCCTAAAAATATTTATATAATAATAAAATCTCCTAGTAAAGTATTATCTGAACCATAACTTGACATGTTGTAACTGAAAATAAAAATCTCTCTTAACAAAAATCTTTTTTCAAATACTTTCTATCTCTCATATTTTCTTTATACACTTCAAATCTTATGTATAAGTAATCTTATATTGTATTGAACTTATCAAATTGCTGATGATTTTATATTATATTATTCTAAATAAATCACTATTATTAAATTATTGAGCTTTATATCATATTGTGCTGAACAAATTGCTGTATTGAAATTATTAAAACTGAATTATAAGTATTTTACTTTTTGTTATTTTGAATTTTTAATTGTTAATGAATATTTCTTACTTGTAAGAAGAACAAAGTGAAAGAGTCTTTATTATTGTTATTACTAATTATATTATCTTAGTTCTAAAAAGCTTTATGCAACTATAGAATCACCTTTTGAATTCCCTTTATTATTCCTTTATTCTCTCTCCCTTTGACCTTTACTCTCCTACAACTCTCCCATATTATTATTTCTTTTCAAGTAAACACAATTTCTGTAGAGATTGGCATAGGTCTTAGATACCCCTTTTCTCTTTTAATATTTTCTTTATCAGTTTATACCCTCTCCCAACCCAGGTTTTTGTTTGTAAGCTAATTTACTAATTTAACGATTAGTGAACAAACTTGTAACAATATATCTATCTATCTATCTATATTTCTATTTTTAAATTTTATATCATTTTAAGCTAATCAATTGTATTTTGAAAATGAACAAGAATTATGTCCCTTTTCAAATGAAAAAAGCTGTTTTAAATATAAAATCAACAAAAAATTTTTTATATTTTAAATCGGGTGTTACTTTTCGGTGGTATTGTGCATCCAATATAATTTGCTTTATAACTAAACGACAAACATAACATACTATAAATATTATCAATTGCTAGGATTAAAAAATAACAAAAATTAACATTATCGCGTTTTTTGTTATATAAAATTCTTAGAATAAATAAATTTTGTTAAAAACTAAGAATTTAACGATAAATATGTGTAATCCATGATTACCGTCAGGACTTCCAATTTTTTTTAACAAAGAGTAGCATTGTTCTTGTAATTTTTCCCATCCTCTTTGATCTCGTGTAGGGAAAGTCATACACTAAAGCTGCAGATATTTATAATTTTGGGATGATTACGTACAGGTGAACGACCATTTAGTGAACGAAGTAATGATATACATCTTGTACGCGACATCTATAATGGAGTACGACCTTCGATACAAATAATGTTCATGGATGGTACAAATTTATCATTGAAAAAGGTTGGGATCCTATTCCAAAAAACAGACCAATTGCTGAGGAACTTGAGCTTTATCAGATCCATCAGAGATGGGTATAAGGCAGAGCCAAATACTTTACATTTTAAGTGCTACAGCTCTTTAAAATCTCCTAAGAAATTAAAGAATGTATTAAACTTGAAAAACAGAAATTAAAAGAAACATGAACAAACCAACACATCTATTCAAATGCAGCTTACACCAGACGAATCTTTACTAAAGAACAAAGTTCGGTTAGAATTTATTGATTAAATCAATCTCAACTATATTCCGAGTTAAAGCACAACAATCAAAAGCTGGTTTCAACTTTTTGTGTTTACCGTTACTTTTTAGTTAGTTTATTAATATCAATATTGATATACGTAAAAGCTATTCTTTCCAAATTTAAGTATACATGGTCTATATAGCAAAAATGCGATAAGCAAATCGATTTAGATCATTCCAATATAGTCTTTGATTATTCCATGATGACAATTCTCTTTAGCAGCAATAACGATTAATATATAGAATACTAATAACATAGCAAGTAAACAGCGACAATTTCGCAAACAATATAAAGAATGTAACAAGAAAGTGACATCGTATTATACTTTAAATAATAAAAATAATAAAAATATACGCGTAAATACAATGAAGTTGGATAATAACACAACACAGTTCAATGATGACCTTTAAATATTTTTTTTCTTTTTAATGTGCATATCGATATCGATATATAAATTAATACTTACCATTATCAGTTTCATCTAATAATGAGCATGACATTGGCAGTGCTTCATCATAAAGTTGTAGTTGTTCGCGAAAGAAAAGATATATATCTATATCCTCGTTAATCTCTGTTTTGCAATCCAAAAGAAAAAATAGTAAATAAATTAATGTAATCAATAAAAAAGTAATATTAACAGAAAAAAATAGAAAAAGATAATTTACATGTATATCGATATATACCTGTACTACATCATTACATGGAACAGTAGAAATCACTGTTATTACGTATCGTTATTACGCGATGAATCCGATGATCAGAGATTTACGCTCTAAACCTCCAAATAAGGCTAGTCAACATTGATAATTAATAATGCCCAGTGTATCACACTGTAAAACGATTTGTCGATCATACAGCCAAAATAACGATAACGGTTTTAGGGTCAATCAACTGTTACATGTAACAACTGGATAACCAATCTATAACAGAAATCTTTAATCATTCATCATTAATTTACTTCTATAAATAGACGATGTTTTCTACAACATCAAGCACTGCTTCAAAAAAAGAGAAATAAATAAAATGAATACTAACGAATATTTAACAGAAACTGAACGTCAACTTCTAAATGAACCTCCCTATGAACTAACTCTCACAATTGAAGAATTAACAAAGCCTGCCAAGAAAAAAAGCGATAATTCTGATAAACCACCACGACCACAAAACAGTTGGATCATTTTTCGGAAAGACTGTGAAGCTAATTTACGTTTACGCAGTCCTGACGTCAAGCAAAAAGTTAAACATACTGCAATGGAATGCAGTTTAAAGTGGAAATCGCAACCAAGTGAAGTTAAACATTTTTTCAAAGCATTGGAGAAAATAGCTCATGAGAATCATAAGCATATATATCCCAATTATAAGTATAAGCCAAAAAATGCAAAAGATTTAAACTATAAAAAATTTATTTTTCGGGAACAAAAAAAATACCCGACCAAGTCTAGTACAAGTGTCAGTTCACGACAAGGGGAAGCGTCACCTTCCTTCACATCATTGACAACTCGGTATAATTCTTATAATTACAGAAATAACACCGACATCAACATCACCACCACTGACAATCATTCTCCAGACACTACTTTACGTCCTGTTATTAATAACGAAGATGGTACATTAACCGACAATTTTAACGCAGATAATCATAATAATTCACATACCGATACTGATTATTTATTTGATGCAAACTATGATAATATCAATAACGATAACGATAACCTTCTTTCTAATTCAACACTTATCGCCAGCACAAATGCAACTATGCTCCCTACAACACCACTTCCTCATGAATATATTAATTACGATGCTGCTTTTAGTGCTGGAAATTTATCAAATATCAATTTTGACTACGAATTCTCTTCTTTATTTTAATCAGGTTTTGTTTAAAATTAATAGGCATTAAAACCACGTTCGACGATTTTATGAATTTACCATAATAAGTGGGGGGACGTAAAACCCGGCGATATCTATCCACCCAACATTAGGTTCGTATAATTCAAATTCCTTTTTCCAAAGATACTATTTCTAATTCATTCGATTTTGATAATTAATATAGACAGTGTTGTCAGTTTTATAACTCCAGTACTCCAGTTCCCAACACTGCAGTATAGACGAATCTAAAGAATATATTTTTAGGATTTGTACGTTTTTCTTATCTTTTCTGCTCGCTCTATTCGTTCGTTTGTTCGTTCGTTTTTTCGTTCGTTCGTTTTTTCGTTCGTTCGTTTTTTCGTTCGTTCGTTCGCTATCTAGTTTGCTTATTCGATTTTTAGTCATGTATATTTTGATTAAATGTGCACCTTGTTCATTAATTCATTAATCAATTGCTCGCTCTCATATTACAAACTGTCACACTCAAATACAAAGAATTGGATTTACGCTAAGGTTACAGTGTTTAATTTAACGTTAAACTAAAAATTATGTCAGAACTTAAAATTTTCAAATCATAAAATTTCTAACAAGTTAAAAATAAAAAGACATTAATAAACATTGTTGCTTCAAATTGGATTGGTAGTCGCAGCTTCCGTAATATTTCATTGACTGTTTGGATAAATGCTAATGACTTGAGAATTGCATTATCGAAAATAAGCAATCCCTCCGAAATCCGTGAAATGGTTAGTTCCGAAAATAAGCTACCCCCCCCCCCCCCCCCCCCCCCCCCCCCCCCCCCCCCCCCCCCACCCCCACCCCCCCCCCCCCCCCCCCCCCCCCCCCCCCCCCCATGTTTCAATTATTAAATAATGCAAGTAAAACGGCCAAAGAGGAAGACACATATCTATTTTTATACTTTTACTCTTCTTGTTATATAATTTCGGCGTGACGAGACTTTCTTTCGTCATCAATAATCAGTCAGTCAATCATCAATTTTCAATCATATGCAAAAGTCCCTGCGTTTTATATTAAAGATCGTACAAGTGTATTTTTGTATGGATTATTTATGTATGTGTGTTTGTGCAATACAACGCGACGCGATGTAAGCACTAGTTGTTGATGTTTCGCGTATATATACGAATTTAATTTTGATTAAAAATGGTAGATTCTATCTATTATATTATTCATATTATTATTATTATTATTATCATCTCTGTTGATAGTAATCTACTTTCTTGATGACAGATTGCAATTAAAAACTCTACCTTGATAGGTAGAAATTATTTCAGGAGTGATACATGTATATATACTTTTTTAGTAACATAATAGATAATAGAGAATTTTGATTCGTTCCAAAAACAATACATACAAAATACTATTGATTATCGAAACCATAAAAAGAGAAGTATCACCATGGAAAAAACCATAAACATAATCCCCAAATCATCATAAAAAAAGGCACAACTTTGCATTTTTGTATTGCTGCAAACAAACATCATGCTGTGCCATCATACACAAAGATAATTTATTTTGGCAACCAGCAATTGTTGGCAACATGTACACAAAGAACCCCTTTCGATCAAAAAAGCAGTCTATATATACCTAGCTGAAACACGCAAAAAATTGTTTCTTCTTGACCTCAAGTGTTGAACACTGCGTGGTTTATTTGTCTTGCTCGCTACGAATTGTTGTTTTCATTTGAATTTTAATTTTACTTAATTAATAAATACGACGCGTGCGTACCGTGTACGTACTAAAAAACGCCTTTATTGTATATATAAATATTAAAAGAAAACTTTTACATCAGATTACGAAGTTTCTAAATTTAAATAATAACGGATTGAGCATGAAAAATATTTTGGTCTCGGTAACTTTGGTGTGCTGGGTTTTGTTGCAATTACTGGTTGTTGCCGTGCCTACTGTTCAAGGTGAGTTTATCGTAAAAGTTTTATATATATTTTATTATCAATTGGGGTTTAGTCGCGTAGTATACACCCACTATTACCAATTAGGTATAGTTATATAGCTTATTCCATTCGGTAAATTTGTATACCATTCAATAAATTTGTATACGAGAAAGATTGGGTATCAGAGAAAAGGGAATAGTAAAATATAGACGGTAAAAAAAGTAAATTGATTATTAATGAATAAACTGTATCAATTTATTATAATATAGGCGCTGCACCACCAATAGTAGCAAAAGGAGTTGAAGGCGATAATAGTAATGATGTCAATTTGAGTGAAGTAGTCCATCATAGTAAACATAGTAAACACAAACAAAAGCATCATCCGAAAAAACCGAAGAAACCGAAAAAACCATCTAAACCAAAACCGTCGAAACCTTCGAAACAAAATCCATTAAAACAAAAGACAACTGAAACGACAACAACGACAAATATACCACCGACACCAGTATTTTCACATCAAAAACCATTGAAACAAAAACCAACTGAAACGACAACAACGACAAATACAAAAACAACACCAAAGAATAAAAATCCATTAGATCAAGTCACCGCTACAGTCGCCACAATTTCGTCCACTCCGGAACCCACCCATGGCACCAACACTGGTGGCAGTGATAATCAAGAAAATACAAATACTGAAACGCCAAGTCTCGACTCCAATAATCCGGATCTTAATAACACTGACAATGCAGTGGTCAAAACGGTTCCGGGCCGGTCCCTTGAAATCGAATCAGTTGGACCATACATTGTCTTTGGGATGATTGCTCTGCTCGCGTTCCTGTTGCCAATCTCTGCATATTTCTTTAGTGTACGTATGGCAAAACTTCGTAAATTACGAGAACAACGAGACGCTGAAGCTGCGGCGGACGTCGCTGCAAAAGAAGTGAAATTTGAAGAGTTTGCCGAGGAAGCTAAATTTGCTGAGCGGGAGAAAAAATATGCGGAATTTGCGGAACGGCAGTCAAAATATTCAGAATTTGCAGAGTATAATCAGGATGCGATGATGTTGCCTTAAGAGGATATATACGCGTATGCTTTATATTATTAACGAAAGCAATCAATTACATAAACAATTGAGTTTTTGGTATTAATTCATTGTTGGAGTTGTTATTTTATTTCTTGGTGATTTACTTTTCTCTTTGATCGTTGGTTGATCTCTCGCTATTAAAGACACCCAAAAGTTTGATACTTTTCCCCTTAAAATAGGATTTGATATTTTTATTTTTTTTTATTCGTTTATCATTATCATACCACATATATATAAAACTACATATGATTTTTTTGTTATCCAGTTTTTTATATATATATATTCTACGCGCTTTCTTATTTTCTTCGGGTGCATCACGGACGTTTAGATTCTAAGGAATTAGAATAACCTCAATAATAATAATAATAATAGTTACAATACATTACTCATTATTTTTAGAGACCTTTTTGTTTTAGAGAAATAGAAAATTCTTCATATTTTTTTTGAAGGAAAAGAAAGATACATATATTTACGTGTATGTACGTGTGTACGTATATATATGTATGTGTATATATATATATATATATACACACACAGCGAAAAATGCGCTTGTATACGTGTTTGATTCACAATTAGAAAAAATAGCGCTTTAAAAAGCCACCGTATCCAAAAAATTGATTAAGTAGTGAAATCGTATTTTTTTAACCTTTCATCCCCTCATTCTCTCCTGCTTAGTGCCTTCCGATCCTCCAAAAAAATTACCTCTTCATATTCTCAGCGTGTTTAAAAAAATACAATCAATCACCCCTATCACCGCTGTAGTCTTCCAAAAAATACGATCGATTAATATCGCCATCTACTTTCTTCAGTTAAAAATCTTGTATCATAATAATTTAATCTAAAAAATTGTATATTTTACAGAACATTCTTTTTTGGCTGGGTGGGCATCGAAAAAACAAAAATGTAAATTCTAATTTTAGTGGACGTCCATCAATTTCTCTATTATTCAAATAATAATAATAACAATCAATTTATCAAATCGTTCGATTTGCTTGTATTTAATAAGTATTTATAATATAATTTATTAACGTTAATATTTTGCTGGCCAACCATTGTTTTCAATTGTATATTATATACATTTTTGTTTAGGCTGTTTAGAACTTTAAATTTCACGTACATACATATATGGAAATGAAGTTAATAATTGCAAGTTACACAATGATGCAAAGATTAATTGGAAAAAACGTGGTGTGCATTATACATAAACCCGAGAGTGGGATTCACTTGTTCGTTGTCGTTGTTCGCTCGCTCGCTCTATATTATTTATTTATTATTATTTACACACTCTTTCCCGCCTCCTCGGCCATATTTTCTCTCCTTTTTCTCCTTTCCTTCATTTCCTAAAATAAAACATAAGTAAAATACATTCTTTTTGACGAGAGAATTGTAAATTGCTTGCTCACTCTCTCTTGTTTTTTTATTCATCTATTTTTTTCCTCTATACACCTCTTTCACTTCTTCGCCGTCGTCTTCACTGAACGACGTCCAAAACAACCTTATCAACTACAAAACCTAGCTTTTCCTTTCCCTTTTACTAATCTCTTTCTAAATTCCGTCCCCACATTCTCCCGTTTGCTTATAATACTACTGTATCTATTCCCATACCAGAAGAACAGAGCTTGCAAATTTTTAATTTTCTTTATCACAACAGAAAAAACCGTTTAATTCATCGCCTCCCGTTGACGAGAGTAGACAATCACATCAATAGTAAATAATATTGTATAGTACCTGATACATCCTAGTGTGTGTTTAATAAATTCTTGAATTAAAATAAAAAATCAATCAAATTATATGCTCATATCACAGGATAATAATACCGTAGCATATATTCAAATCAGAAAGCTTCAAACACGCACACGTGTATACATCATCTTTTCAATCCTGTAGTCATAATATTCGCGTCTCGTTTACCTCATTACCTTCATTAGTAACAATACCTACCCCGACATCACCTGATCCCTAAAAAATAAACATGATGGGAGGAAACAGAGAAACAATGTTTTGGCGTCGCATGTCAAAAGCCGCCAAAGATCCGGATCACAGTGACTGGCTAGACAAGCAACAGAAAAAGCAACGACGACAACGACTAATCTTATTGACGATAGGATTGATATTAGTGGCAATAATTGTGGGTGCGATCGGATATTATTATACACATCGTACACCCCCAAAATACCCGAATGTGAATAATGCACCGACTGGAAATGCCGCGGTAAATACAACAGCACCGGGCGATACAAAAATTATTCCCGATTCGAGATATAGTCGGTCGTTCTATGGAATTGGGTATACGCCGTTGAACACACAATTCCCGTGGTGTGGTGCTTCATTGGCTAATATTACAGAGGATATAAAGATTTTATCGCAGTTGACGCCGCGGATTCGTCTGTATGGTCAGGATTGTAGACAGGCGGAAATGGTGTTACAGGCAATTAAATTGCTTAATGTTAAAATGTCGGTAATTCTTACTGTTTGGGTGGATGCAAATGAGACAACATTTCAACGTCAGTACAGTAGTATGTTAGATACTTTGAAAACATACGGAAGTGATGGTAACATTGAAGCTGTCGCAATCGGCAATGAAGTATTATTCCGAAAAGAAATTGAACCTCAAGTATTATTTCAACGTATGATGGACTTTCGCGCAACATTACAAACAATGAATCTCTCAAAAATAAAAGTAATCACTTCCGACCTTGGATCAAACATAAGTCCGGCGATGATTAAAGCCACCGACGTAGTATTCGCGAATGTACATCCATTCTTTGCCGGAGTGGTGGTAGAGAAAGGCGCCGACTGGACATTCACCTATTTCAATGAGACAGACGTGAAACCTGCATTACCGAAACCGGCGGTAATTTCAGAGGTAGGATGGCCGACAAAAAATGGAACGAATAGAGGAGCTGTGGCCTCGGAGCAGAATCTGCAAATATTTGTCGATAATTTTGTGTGTGAGGCTAATCGACGACAAGTTCCATATTACTTTTTTGAGGCTTTTGATGAACCATGGAAAATTATTACTGGTAGTGATATGGAAACACATTGGGGTATTATGACGGTGGATCGTGAGCTGAAGATCAAAATACCGAATTGTGTGGTGCCTCCAGTACGTTATTAGTGCATTATTAATACACTCGATCGTTTATTGATAGAGACATCCTCCAAAATCATATGCATCTATACACACATAATTTATCATCTCAATTCATCATTTTTGATTCCAAACTGTTGGCATTATTTGTATTTTACAAATCGGGTGTAGGTTTATATTTTTTTGTTTTTTTCTACATTGAACGTTAATTTTCTTGTATTTATTAGCAATTAGATCACCATTCGTCCCCCCATTCATTCTCCTTCATACAATAAAGAACCATCAAAACAATTAACAGTCATATATATTGTAATAATTAATAATAGACAGTGATTCGTTCCGGATAAAAAGAAACAAGACCAAGAGTCTTTTTCTTTTTTATCCACAAAATACCCCTTTCTTGTTTATTTTTAAGCCTAATTCCATCCTTGTTTTTGATATTACCCGTTTTTTGTAAGATAGCTTTTTTTTCTCCTTTTTTTGGTGAGCGTGTTTCTTTCGCTACTAATATTGATAATACTTAATGTTACAATAATTATAATGTAATAATAATAGATTTTAATTTTAATTTTTTAATTGAAGTGTTACAAAGTCTTGTGTGCGCGGTGTGTGATGCTTATAACAGCGTATTGATTGTTATTAATTATAATTTGGAGGAGACGATTTTCGGTCTACATTTTTACGAAATCAATTCATAAAAAATACATTTGATTTCTAAAGTGATGCCTGTTACATATTCCATCATGTTCATTCCTCGAAATTTAATTCACAAGGTTGATGGTTCGATAACAATAACGATAAGGATTTAATAATTGATTATTTTGTGAAACTGATTATCCCAAAAAATAAATCACGCGGTCATAATTTTGACGTAATGTATATACAATGTGTGACGTGTGGGGCATTCCGGAATAAAACCAGAAGAGGTGGACATTATGTTACAAGGACTCATGTGCATCGCTAGTCCCAGAAATTTATTCGTGTCATTTGTCTATTAAAGGTTGATTCTATCGTTTGGTTAGGGTAAGGGTTAGTGTGGTGGAAAGAGTTATATGTAAAATTACTTCCCCGACATTTTTTATTAGAGCTCTAAGTTAGATTTAGACATCTGTTTCCCGTATTTTTCACATTTTGTGTCGGATTTGTTTTGACGGGCTTATCAAAAATTTGCGCATCCTTATTGGTTTGTCATGTGCATGTGATCAAGAATCGAATTCTACTTTCTATTCTTGGCGTCTTTGGGGAATATACTATTATGGTGTTGCACAACGGTGTTGCATAATGCGTATGACACGTTTTAATTTCGATAATAAAGTAACACATGCATTACAGAATGTTTTTTTCCTAATGTTATGCGCCGAGTATTATTGTTGTCATCATCAACTATTATATCGAAAAAGCCGAGAGCAATTTTAATTATTTCGCGAAAATAAACAAAAACAAAAGACGTTATAAATTATTCTCTCTCGAAAAAAGACAGAGGATAACTCGCAAAGGAATAATAAAGTATGGATTTGCAAAGTCAATTACAAGATCTTTTGGATCTGTCGACTCATGTGAATGGTACTTATTTGTTGCTGTTACAGTTTATTCTTATTTGTCATAGTTATTAATTATCTTTTTATTTACTAGTTTTACTACAAAAACAATCTGATATACTTATTCGAAAACGTAATTTACTGAGTAAACCCGACGAGGACGAGCTAGACGAAAATGAAGACGAGGATGACGCGTTGACTTTAACCTATGATATTATATTAGCGTCTCGCTCGCTGCAAGGTTAGTTGTTGCTTTCAACGAGTGGGTGTTAATCGAACATCTACTCGGATCGCCGGATCTTGTGAGATTTAACAAATAAATAATCACGATAAATACGTTGAATCGTATCTCCAAAATATCAAAATTGTTTATTCAGTCCTACAGATTCGTAGAGAGATTCGTTCTGTAGTCGGGGAATTGATGGGAGTCAGAGAACAATTCGATAAACTCGATGAAGACAGTTGGATCGAATATATTCAAGATCTAATGGAACATTTGCATCTCGTTCTCAAAAAAGGGTTGGATCGTATGTCCTGATAAATATATTCTTTGTTCTATTCGTTTAGTAATTATTTGGAATTAATAATTATTTTACTTATTAGTCGCAGCTGAAGAAAATCCAAAGTCGCAACTTTTAGATTTATTTTTACCAGCATCACAAATTAAAATTTCTCCAAAAAATATTGTGTATAATAATAATCGAGCTTATCATGGAGGAGTGGCTTTCTCGCAAAGCAAATACAATAAATCTATCATAAATAGGAATAATGATCTCAACAACAAGAGCTTAAATCATAATAGCGATAACGATAACGATAACGATAACAATAACGATCATGATCATGATCATAATCAAAATACAGTACAAATTTGTGGATCACTTCCTGATTCAGTAACCATGCAAGAAAATCGTGCGCGTTCAAATTTAACAAGACGTCACACGATGGATTCTGAAGAAATTCCGGTTGCCCGTTTGTTTATTGGAAATTTAAGGTTTCAAAAAACTCCATCGAAAGCTGGCAAGACTAGTTTGGTTTCTCAGGAGTCGATTATTGCAAATACTTCGCGGATACCAGCGCAATGGTCAACGGGAGATAAAAGATCAAATAATCATGATGCTTATGATGTTGATATTCATAAAAATCGTGACGAAGAAGATAATAATAATAATGATAATAACAGACATTTTTATGCTGAAAACCATTTAACTCACATATTCAATCAAGAATCATCAGAAGAAGCAAGTGATGAATTTGTTGATGCTGTAGAGAGTCCGGAGGAAGAGCATGATAAAAAATCCAGTATAAAGAAGAGTCATGCACGTCGAACATCCGAAATACAAGAATTAGCTGCTCGAACTCAGAGTCTAATGAAACGAACAAGTTCACTTTTATCCTTTCCGTCTACTCTCGATACAGTTGTTGAAGATGACTCGCATTCTTTATCGGTAAGTGTATAATGAATTAATTCATTCAATATCTTATGTACATTCTAATATGCTTTTTAAATAGGAGGATAATGTCACCTTATCGTCTTTCTCGCTTGTACCTTCAGCTCTTTCAACACCAACTTCGACACCAAATTCTTGCTCGCCCACTGAATCTGTATTTCAAATTAAACTTGGTCGCGATAAACCGACTCATTTATTTGCGGAAGAAGTTACTGTGGGTAATCCATTGAGAGTCGGAGTTGGTTATGGATCTTATATTGTATATACATGCACTGTAAAGGGTCAAGAGGTGAGGCATTAATAGCTAATGGATCTTAATGAGGATTCATGTTCATAGTAATTAATATCTTTTTTCTCAGGGTGCAAATATTGTTGCAAGAAAGCGTTATTCGGATTTCGTACAGCTACGCGCGCAACTTATCAAAGCTCAACCTTCTTATAAAAGATTAATACCGAAACTTCCTCCAAAGAAAGTTGTTGGTAAATAATTACTTTTGATTATTTATTCTGAAATAATTTAAAATCATATTTAATAATTATTTGTTTTCGAAAATGATAGGTAAATTCGGTGCTGAATTTATTGAGACACGACGCAATGATCTGGAGTATTTTTTAACCTATGTACTTTTACACCCGATACTTGGTGCAACTCCTGTTGTACGTCGTTGGTTTATGAGTGAAAACGGACATTTTGACTAATAATTATTCTAAGGTAGCGCTATGTAAAAATCATGAGATTGGATCAGTGTACAGATTTATTATATATATATTTATAATAGCCAGCACACATTCTACTAATTAAAATCAAAATCAAACTTACAAAAAGACAAAATTATTTTCTATGTTTTTTTATCTCTATTGTTTATATGTATAATAAGGGAAAGGGAATTATGTGTCTGATGAAATTTCCACAATTTAGCATGATTTATTTTTATGTTCAAACAAATCATCGTTATACTTGTTAACGTTAGGCGTATTTTGTAATAACGATAATTGGTGCGACATTTACGGAGCTTCTGAATGACATATAAGGATACCTTGGCGCACTTGTCGTCAATCACGAAAGTATTATAGGTTTATTACTTTTCTGAAGACACGCCCTTTGATGCTTTCAAAGTACCTCATTTTTTTGGACATTAGAAAAAGAATAGAATTACTTGTTTAATGAATTATTCATAAGGAGCATATAAGGAATCAAAAAAGCATAAAGAGGGCTTCGTTGAGACAATTCTCTAGAGTGATAGTGTTCTTTAACAGTACACCTAACAGAGTAGCCTTTCCTTGCACTTACAATACCCCTTTACGAATCACGAAACGAAAATTCCTTAGCCAAGTCTACACAATGAGAAAAAAAACATCACATTCAATATTTAAATTAATGCGATTCAAGTTCACGTGCCTTCGTCTTTTAATAGTAGCAATATTTATCTCATGCATGACACTCCTCACCCTTTTTTATTATGTTGGAGATAAGAGAAGTTCACGCGAGGTGTTTTTCGAGACGCAGTATATTAATCCAATGAATGATCCGTCGTTGCGACCACCATTGAATGTGGATACTTCATCAAACACAACAACGCGTGTAAAAGCAGCTATTGTGATATTGGTCAGAAATTCAGAATTGAATGATTTACGGTTTACGATGCATCAACTCGAGGATAGATGGAACAAAAAATTTCATTATCCTTATGTGTTTTTGAATGATGTGGAATTTACGGATGAGTTTAAGGAGTTGACTACTGGAATTACTGAATCAGAAACTTCTTATGGTACAGAATCAAGGAAGAATGCGTTTTATTTTTATCTAGTGAATCTATTCATAATTGTTAATCTTGTTCTTAATTCTTTAGGTTTAGTTCCTACAGAAATGTGGAGTTATCCATCATGGATAAACCAAACAAAAGCAGACGAGAATCGCGAGCGAATGGAAAAAGATAATATCATCTACGGTGGATCTTTACCGTATCGACACATGTGTCGGTTCAACTCTGGATTTTTTTTCCGACATCCACTGTTAGATGAATACGATTGGTATTGGCGTGTAGAACCATCTGTGGAATTCTCATGCAATCTCGACTACGATCCATTTCTATTCATGCAAAAAAATAATCTGACCTATGGATTCACTATCTCGCTGTTCGAATTCAATAATACAATTCCGACACTGTGGCAGACTGTCAAAAGTTTTATGCGTGAGAATAAAGAGCTAGTTAATCCAAAAAACGTCATGAATTTTATTACGGATGGAACTGAGGATTATAATTTGTATGCGCGGCTCTTTGATTTTTTTTGTAATAATTGGAGAAATTTCTAACGATTATTTTTGGGGGGGGGTCCTATTTTTAGATGCCATTTTTGGAGTAATTTTGAAATAGGTAACTTGAATTTCTGGAGAAGCGAACGATATATAAAGTTTTTTGAATATCTTGATCAACAAGGCGGATTCTTTTACGAGAGGTACTTAATTATTGCGTTCACTTTTCTCTTATTCGATAATCTTATCTCCAATCTAAATTCCGCGTTTTCATATGTTCAAGATGGGGAGATGCACCAGTACATTCAATAGCGCTCGCCATGTTCTTAGAAAAATCCGAGATACATTTTTTCAACGACATCGCGTACAGACACAATCCATACCAACATTGCCCAGAAGATAAAGACCGGTATCATTACTCGGGGTTATGTCATTGTGATCCGAACGAAAATTTTGGTATTTTTTTTCTTAATAATATTGGCCACTGTTTGTTTTTACGAATCCTTCAAACAAAGAAATTCATTATGATTCACCATTTGTCATAATAGACCTTCATTGGTATTCATGTACGGACCGGTGGTTTCGAGCATGATCCAGTTCATCTATTTACGAAAAATTTGCAATAGCATATATATATTTGATAATATAGAGTATATATTTTATAATAAATGAAATATAATATCATTGGCTCAATACAGATCACACAATCATGACGGATTGGATCACCAGGCAAAAAATTTAGTGTTGTTTATGGGCTGACCCACTCACTCACTAAAATAACTTTTAACATTAACGTTAATAATAACAAATAATAATAATAATAAAATAATAGCCATAAGATAATGACTGAATTACTTCCACTACAAGACGAAGATATAACTAAAGCCGAAAACCACAATAACCCTGGCGAATCGTCAACACAAAGTAAAAAGCCTCGACCGAATATTATACTCGGAAAAGACGGAAAGCCGTGTCGAGCATGCACAGCATTCAAAGATTGGACAAGACAAGAAAGGAAAAAGGACTCTTCAGAATCTACCACCACCTCGTCGACATCTTTGTCGTCGTCGACTACATCAATACCGTTTTTAGGTGCTGCGAAAAAGCTTCCAAAAGATTGTCCGGCCGATTCTGAAACCCTCGGTCGACACACCTGGACGTTTTTACATACCATGGCGGCCTATTATTCTGATACTCCGACCACCACACAACAAACGATGATGCTATCGTTTCTTCGCACTTTTTCATATGTTTATCCGTGTTGGTATTGTGCCGAACATTTACGTGACGAGATGTTACGTAAGCCGCCGCGCGTTGAGAATCGTAACGTGTTGTCGCGTTGGATGTGTGAAATGCATAATGGGGTGAATCAACGATTGGGTAAAAAGATTTTTGATTGCTCGAAAGTTGATGAACGGTGGAGAGATGGGCCAAAAGATGGAAGATGTGATTGAAAAAGAACTATTCTGGGAGATAATAATGATGGTTAGTGATGATGGGAGAAATATTGCGGGAGTTTTGGAGTTAGATTTTATTTTTTATTCATTATCTTTATAGAGAAATTATGACCTATTATTATTAGCATTTTTGATGTTCGACTTTAGACTCGTATTTAACGAAAAAATTTATTAGATATCGATATATTGAAAATATTAAAAACTGATGCAAGTCACTTGTTATAGTGAATGTGTTCGAGAGAAATTTCTCTCTAATAATACTAAGAAACAATCATAAATGTATATCGATATCGAGAGTTTTAACGAGTCTTCACTATATCGAGCGTTCACTATAACGATAACGAGAGTTTTGACTGTAACTAAAAATGTAATCTAGTTCAGATTAAATATATTTATCAATGCTATCGCTATTATACATTCATATACATGCGTAGCGAAGAATAAAGTCGACACTACTTTAATATCTAAAATGTCTAACAGTAAGTCGGAATCTTTTAACGAAAACTCAGCAACATCGTCTCACGCTTCCGCACCAGACTATCATAATAAAAGACCTGAAAGTTCTGTTCAAGGCAAATTAGATAAAGATAAAACACAACCCTCATCACCACCATCACCTTTACATCACGAGAATGAAGCTGTGCGTCTAGTTCGGATACGAAAAATCTTCAATGAGCTGGACAGAAACGGTGCTGGATTACTAGACCGCAAAAGCATACAAAAAGGTCTAAGTAAACTGAAAAGCCTTCCGGCACGTAACAAATACGCTTTGGAACTATTGCAAAGGTGTGACACGAGTAAGGATGGAGTGGTCGACTTCCAAGAGTTTAAGACTTTTGTCGAGGAGAAAGAAAAAGAATTGTGGGAGTTGTTTGTGGAAATTGATAAGAGTAAGGATATGAAATTGCAGCCTGAGGAACTGGAGGGGGCTTTATGGAAAGCTGGTAGGCATTAAGTGTACAATCTTGATTTTTGATCAAAATGCTGACTCGATGATTAAATGTATATTTTCTCAGGTATTCATTGCACCAAACAAGAATTAAAAAAGTTTATACACACAATGGATAAAGATGGAAATGGTGTAATTGATTTTGGAGAGTGGCGAGATTTTCTTTTGGTGTGAAATTATTTCTTATCATCTAGTATACTTGAATTAATAAATCAAATCAAATCAAATCAAATTAATCAAATAACAATAAAATCAATCATCAGCTTCTCCCAAGTGAAACGACACTTCAGGAAATATACTATTTCTATCAATCAGTAGCACAAGTCAATATTGACGGTGAAGTCGTCATCCCGGTCACAAATCCAAAATATTTTATTGCCGGAGCCATGGCTGGTAAATATCAAATTTGTTATTTCGATCTTCTTGTCTTTTGTTGCTATTTCGACTAGAGAAACACCGGATTCTAAAATAGTCGGGCGGAACAGCTCTGTTAACTAACCCTTCCTTTAGGGGCTGTGAGTCGAACTGCAACCGCGCCATTTGATCGTCTGAAGGTTTATCTGCAAATACAAACGGATGCGCGACCTCTGAAACTTTCCACAAAGAGACAACAACACGGTAGTGTAATTTATAATAAAAATGCTGCTGCTTCTGTTGTTCGATGGTCTACGGGATTGGGGTCGAGTAAGGTTACGAACGCGATTAAAGAGTTGTATAAAGGAGGACCATTGAATTTTTTCCGGGGGAATGGACTCAATGTTGCTAAAATTGCTCCAGAAAATAGGTATGTTGATATATTTTATATCATCGTTTTGTCGCGAATTCCATCTAATTCGTCGATTTAATTGTTTGAATAGCATAAAGTTTTATTCATATGAGCAATCAAAAGCCGTGATTGCTTATTTAATGGGAAAAACGGATATTGGATCAATAGGAATTTCTGGACGATTTTTGGCCGGAGGAGTAGCTGGTCTAATATCACAATTCAGTATATACCCGTTAGAAACACTCAAAACACGTGTGATGAGTTCAACCGATAATAGGAATGTTGGCAGCAGTAATCTATTATTACGTACTGCAAAGGAAATGTGGCAAATAAAAGGCGCACGGGCATTTTATAGAGGATTAATACCATCGTTGATAGGCGTGTTTCCGTATTCAGCGATTGATATGAGTGTTTATGAGAATTTGAAAATGACATATATGAAATGGGATGAAACACGCCGGAATTCTTCTAATAATATAAATAAGTTTGATGATGGGAACGAGTTAAATTCAACAACAATAACAACAACAACAACAACAACATCGTCAAAAAAACTGAATTCGTTTGTATCGTTAGGATGTGGAATGACTTCGGGATCGGTGGGCGCAACAATCGTTTATCCACTTTCACTAATCAGAACTCGGTAAGTTCATCATATTCTTGTAATTCATCTGTCTGTCAAAAATCGAATTGATCGAACGTGACTTTCAACTTTTGCCAAAGGGATTCCCAAGTATTTAACATAATCGTAGTTCCTAGAGTGTTGGGTTATGTCAAAAGTCAAAAGTCACATCTATAATTTATTAACGATGATATATATATATTTTTTTTAAGATTACAAGCACAGGGCACTCCAGGACACCCGCAAAAATACGTAAATGCATTTGATGTCATACAAAAAACATATGCACTCGAAGGTATTCGCGGATTTTACAAAGGACTCGCGCCAACATTAATAAAGGTACAAATTAAGATTTCTTGAATCAAAGATTGAATCTGTTTTTTTTTTTTGCTGATGAGTTTTGTTTGTTATATAGGTTATACCAGCAGCTGCGATTTCCTACGTAGCCTATGAGCAAATGAAAAGTAATTTGAAGTTACCATAACAAAGAATTCGAGTCTATTCCTTCAATCTATTGAATTAGTTAAAGAATTTTTTGATAATTGATTATTTATTTACTGTTCAATAGTCACACTATTATTTATTGTATTAATTTATTATCCTTACCTTTCAATGATATATTTATTTATTCATATTTGGTTTACGTGTAAACCATCGACTCGTGACCAATGCATGCATTTTTAATTACACTTTTAAACTATGTGTATAGATGTTTGAATCTGCTCGATCCCAGAAAAGTTCTACCGTAACGGTAATGTTAAATTGTGGCAGATTAAAATGAAATCAGATTAAAACGAAGTATGAATAATCAGCGACAAAATTTAATATTATACCCTTTTCCAAAAAAAGATCCAAATTATTTAACCCTAAACCTAACCCTAACGCTAACCAAAACTCCTTAATATTATGCATTATAATTAAGGGGTTGGCATTGTGATCGGAATCACGTGATCAACTCTTTTTTTCGCCATTGCTTGGGTACTACCTACCTTAGAGTTAAGGTTATATGTAAAATTGCCTCCCCAACATTTTTTGTCTAGATTATCGTTATAGCCTGCCGATACCGATACTTATCAGAATCAGAAAATCCTTTGATTGGTTGAAAATTGCGCAATTGAGTCGGGAACTTTTATCAATCATGTGCTTTTGCTTGGAGTTAGTAATATATAAAAAAGGCGTCTGGTTGAGGGAGTTTTTTACTTCCTTTTCCTCTTTTTTTTTTTTTTCCTTGTTCACACTTAATTCTATTTTCTTCGTTTCTTTATATTACTTCGCTGCTCTTTAGTTAGATACTTGCTTCATTGAAATGTTAGTCGCGTAATTTATTAGTTTAGTTTCTCATCTAATTAAAAAAGAATAAAAAAAGTCCGGTTAGCTCAACTGGCTAGAGCGGTCGAGTGGTTCTCAGATGGTCTTTCTCCTGTTTTTCTTTTTTTAATACTATAATATTTTTTATCATTATTTCCGTATCTATAAAAAAAGGGAATAGTAATTTTCATATTTTTCTTCGTATAATTTAGTCTTGTTGGAGAAACTTTGGGTGGTGGTTTTTTCTTTTTTTTCATGTCATTATATATACGGTTTTTGACCCTTTTTTTAACGTTTTTATATTATATTTTTCATATTATATGTCATATGTTGCAATATAGAGGGGATTTTTTTATACGTGTATACACACACCAAGAATTGATTTTCTCTGCAAGAAAAAGTTGGATATTACGCGTACCTGCTCGCAATTTAGTTATCAATTATCCTTTTTTATAAAACTTTTTCTTTCTCGTTTACTACGCAAAACTTCGACACCTTTCTTCACCTCTTCAATTCTTCCTTTTTAATCCGTCCGTTATTCATACATATGTGTGCATGCACAAGAGTTTTTATTGGACACTCCAACAAGATGCCTGGTATATATTTACCGAACACTACTTTTTGTGAAAGTAGTGAATGATCACGGAAAGGATATAAATCTTTTCTCGTTTTCGTAATGGTGTTTGGTTAAAAAAGAAAAGGACGAGGTCTTTTAAGTAAATGCTTCGCTTCTTGCCGGCACCACTTTTATACACAAAAAAAATTGAGAAATTAGGTTGGATCTTATCAATGTTCACGATTGTCACAATGATCAATTTGATGAGTTTGAGATGATCATCCTACGAGAGAGTTTTTCCCCATTATACTATGTCGATAATGGACTCGAGGTGACGTGCTCGAAGACCGCCTTGAAGTTTATTCGCACAGTAAGTGACGTTGTCTGTTACAACAACGATTACATCATCATCAACAAGAGCGCGGCCTTTTCGGTTCCTTCCTTCCCTACTGATTATGTCCTGCTCCTACATACGGATCGAACAACCAATCTACTATTATAATTTGAATCTGCGTCCACAGACCGATTCATTCAATATCGTGTGCATACATTTCGGTAGTTCGATCTTCATCTTACGGATATTATACAGAACAACAGCACTTCTTATTATACACATCAGTATTGGAACAAACAAAACGGACAATTGATCTTTTTCCTCTCTCACGACAGCCGTAACTTTTTTTGCACACTCAAAGTATTCTCTCGCTAACTATGACTTCAAAGCTACCGTTTGAACGCTGGTGAATAATGTAAAGAAAGACGGTGATGTCTTTGCGAACAATACTACTTGCACCAGTGAGAGTTTTCGCGAAAAAAAAAGTGGGAACTTATTTTTTAATTATCAATTTTTTTTGTGAAAAACAAGCGAATAAAAAACAACAACAACAACAAACAACAGCAAACAACAGCAACAACAAAAAAATAAATTGCGCCCGAAAAAAAGTAAACTTTTTTACTTGTTTTATCAATTTTTTTGTGAAAAACCAACAACTGCAACAACAAAAATCACCAAACAAACAGCAGTATAGCAACTTGAGCAACGATTTATTTCGTTGATCAAATATACAAAACAAAACAATACAATTAGTTGTTCAAGTATAGAAACAAACCAGGCTTAAAATCCGGTTGATTTTCACTGTGAATAATAGCACGATAATCATAAAATGCTTACCATTTCGGCGGCGCCTACGTATCCATGTATACAAACAAGAAGTATTTTCGAATAATCATATAAATAAAAAAAGTCTTTACTCTTTCTTGTTCCGACCTCTACCACATCACAACGGACGCTGTCTCTTAATGCTTGGATCGTTTCTCTTTCGGATATCACTTTGCCGTAGGAGAAAACAACTATTGTTGGGACCATGTAAACTGGAGATGGAATGCGTTTCTTTTACTAAGAAAGAAATAAGAACCAAAAAAATTCATCACTCGTAATAGTATCGACGTAATCAAACAACAATTTCGCGCCGTTCTCTCGATAATAATATCATTGCGTTAGTCTTCTCCACATGGGGCTTTACTTTTTATAATTTCACATCTATACGTTTGATTTACGTTGCCACCACCAAAAATTTCGTTTTGCAACGATTTTTTTTCCTTGCTAAATAAGTTCTCACTTTTTCTGTTCTTTTTTCTCGTACACATTTCTATTTTTATATTTTTAGTCAAAGTGAGTGCACAAATTTCATATTTCGTTTTTATTATTTTTGTGCGTACGAGAGACCCTTTAAGAAATGATACAATGACCGCTCCTACTACATATGCTTCATGGTGTGTGTATGTGTGTGTGTGGTCGTATCGTTTCTTGCATTTTACTTTATGTTTCTTTTTCGTCAGGAGATAAGACCAAAGAAAATTCTGAGGATCCTCGACAATGATGTGTGGTTCGAGTCCCACACCGGACATCTTGAACAAATTCTTTTTTTTTTGGGTGATCTTTTTTTCTTTTTCTACATTACAAAATCTTATAATTTAAAAAGGAAATTGTGATAAAGGCTTAAGCTAAAGTTTTATGAAAATAGATCAGGTAAGGAAATTATCATATTCGTGCTCTGGTTGTAAATATTCGTCATCACGTTTATCTCGCTTGTATGTATCGGTCTTTGTACCTACATACATGTGCGTAGATCTAATTGACTCGTATTTCTCGAGTCAATATTCTATTTTCTCAAAACAGAATTCATAATATTGACGCAAAACATGAAGGCGGTATTAAGAGCGTGTACGTGAACTATTGAATTGACATCAAGAATACGAAGGCGCGGTTCTTGAATAGCATTTTTCTCGCCAGTTTTGATCTGCTTTTTACAATGTATACGTATCTCTGAAAGACAAACGATCTTAGTATTATAATAAAAAATATTTTTCGCGACCTGCAAGCTACCAATTATTTTTTTATCTTCTATATTCTCGAAGCTAATTTAGCAATTTTCATATATTTTATTATCCAAAGTAGATTGTTTAAATAACGTAATAGAACAGGAATTTAACTAATTATATCTTTAATAACGCGTCCGCACCAAAGAAGGTTTCCAATCAATAGGATGCGTTTCTGGAGTCTAAAGAAACACGAAAAATAAATATTTTAATCTTTTTTCATCAAAACTCGAATTTTTTCCTTAATATTTTCACTTACAGCTTTTGGGTCTTCTTTATACACTTTTATCGTTTTGTCAGCTTCGCAAGTAATCAATCGCAAGCCCGTACGATCAAAAGTACACGCGAAAATACCCGCCTCAGATTCAAGAGATCCAGGTTGTACAGTTACATCCATAGTTTGGAATCTGTACCCGGATTTCCAATCCCAGAATGACATTGAACCATTATCAGCTGATAAAAAAAGAACCATGTTAGATGTGTGCCTTGAAATTTTCTCATGCAAAGATTCGATAAACACAAAAGAATCTCGCTACCTCCAGAAAATAAAACATTATCTGCGTTTACTGTAAGAGTATTAATGATAGCACGATGCCCTTCAAAATTTTGCATAAAAGTTCCTTCTGGACATTTCCATTGCTTTATATTATCCGCACTTCCACTTGCAAAGGTGAATTCGCTAGGATGCAATGCGAGAGCGCGTACAGATTTTTTATGATGTGTAAGGGTAGCCATCGTTTTTCCCGCAGCGAGATCCCAAAGACGAATGGTGGAGTCCATTGAACCCGTTATTACTTGTGGATCGGCCTCTTGACATTTTACATCGGCAACGGTTGTGTTATGACCAGCCAAAACGTGGATACATTGTTTTGTACGCATATCCCAAACCTTTTATTGAGAACATAATATATATATATAAATTATATAAATTAATAAATTAATTGAATTAATTAAATTACAATTTTTATTTACCCTTGCAGTAGCATCTCTTCCCGAGGTAACCAATACGTCTAATGTAGGGTGCAAGCTTAAAGAATAGACTCCCGATAAATGCCCGTGATAATGTCGAATAACTTTATTTTGTTCGAGATCCCAGCATTTTACCATCTTATCTTCGCCACATGAAAATAGATATGGATGCCGTGGCGAGACTGCTAAGCCACGTACAGTCGAAATATGACCTGTAAGAGTTACCTTCAAAGTGCCAGAAGCTAAATCCCATATCTAAAAAGTTTCAAATTTGATAAGTAACATATCAAAAACGAAAATTCACCTAAAACAATTGTGAATTATATTACCTTAATCGTCCTATCCCCAGCTCCGGTGGCGAACCATTTATTACCTGGTTCTACTGCGACTGATCTCACCCAACCCAAATGTCCACTAATAACTCTCATTAGTACCCAGGGTGCATGCCATCCCGGTTTTACTGACTTTGGCGTTTGACGTCGAATAAGAGATCCGGTGCTTGCCTCTGGTCCAGCTCTAAATCCAGCTTTTTGTCTTATCGCAATAACACCATGAGCATGTTTTGCGGCTTCTTCTCTTCATAGAGCAAAAAAAGAATCGGTTCAATGATGTAAAATATCTGAATTAATGCACCAAATTAATAAAAACTTACTGTGCTTTTGTCGGTGGTAGACTATCAATTAGACGCGAAATACTACTCTCTGATACTTCAGCTTCAATGGCAGTTTCGTTAGAGAGAGTAACACCTAAATATTAATGCGCTTATTTAATATGATGTTGGAATTCGTGAATTAAAGATTAGATAATCTAATTACCAGGTGCAGAAGGAAAAAGATGACCTCCACTTATTTGCAATACTTTATTATTTGATCCATTTTTACTGGATGCGGTCGATTTCTCTATAGGTCCTTCAATATTGGCGGGTTGTTGCTTTTGTGATCGCGTTACTTTGCCCTGTTGTGCCAATACCGCTGGTGGTAACTCTTGTACGTCATGGTATTCATCGTTAAGCTTTACGCGAAGTTTTACCCGTTGACTATCAAAATAAAGAAAAAACAAAATGATTAATTCTGATGCCTATTCGTAACTAAGGTGTTTATATCGCGAAATTAAAACAATAAGTAGAGAAATAGGATCCTTGGAAGTTTCGGACCAGAATTAACTTAAAGAAAACAGGTCAACAGCTTTCTGGATAGACTAGAATCAAGAGACTTAGTTAGTTTGGCACAAAGACCTTTCTTCTACCTCCAAGACCGTAACCGAGTCTGAAATGTTTGTTCTTTCTAGAAACATTGCACGTGTACGTTTTGCGGAATTTCTTAATAGAGATTCTAGTGAGGGAATTTGTGGTGATTCAACTGAAGTTTTGTCGATTTGCATAGAGGTTGAAGCCATTTTTCGCAGTGGTAAAACAAGTGAAACAGCGGTAATTTTAGCTTTGCTGGCATTAAAAATTTATTGGCCAGAATTAAGATGCAACATGATGAGAATTTGTGTAATAATACGCCAAAACCACAACAGCGAATAGAGAATCGAGTGCTTGAAGAGAAGTCATTTTTTTTCTCCGTGTAAAGTCCGTGTCGACGAATATATTACAAAAAAATTTTATATGTAATGGCAAGTTACAAAAATACTATCGTTTTTACAAAAATAAAGTATAAATACTCTTTAACAAGTTGGCTAACAATTACTAATGTTTCCCTCGTTAGTATTCCAACAACAGCAACAACAACAGTAATAGTTCGTCGCCTCAATTTGAAGGAATAGGAGGACGTATCCTTCCTCATCCTGGTGGTTTCTCGTATCAAGATGTAACAAATACTCTTCCACCGTTGAAAAATTTTCCCGCGCAACAACCACCTTCACCCCAGCCACCTCCAACGCCACTTCAAAAGTCTCGAAAAACATGGACAAGTGAAGACGACAATTTGCTTCGGTTAGCTGTCGAAATCTATGGAGACCACACGGACAAGTGGTCGAAAATAGCTGCATGTGTTCCAAACAGAACAAATAAAAATTGCAGGAAGCGTTGGTTTCATTCTCTTGACCCTAGTTTGCGAAAAGGTCCGTGGACACCCGAAGAAGATGATCTATTGACGAAAGGATATGAGCAGTATCGTGGAAAATGGAGTCTAATTGCTAAAAATATTCCTGGACGAACTGATGATCAATGTGCTAAAAGATGGCGAGAAAGCTTGAATCCAGAAATTTGTAAACAACAATGGACCGCGAAGGAAGATGAATTGCTGCGAAATAAATATAATGAATTGGGTAGTAAGTGGCAAGAAATTGCTAAATTTTTTCCTGGTCGTCCTGGATTACATTGTCGTAATAGATGGCGAAAAATAGAAAGAAGTCAACAAAATAAAAAAGATTCTTTGTCGCCGTCAGCCAATGAAGTTTCGCAAATGTCTGAAATTGAGATGATTCCTCAAAGTTTGGACGAGGCCTCATCATCTTCATTATCGTCCTCTTCCTCGGCTACGGCTACTAATGATATGACGGCTTATAGGCAGGTCGTAGAAAACGACACAGAATCGTTGGAAAATTCGACCTCTCTTATGGATTTAATGCCGATGACGACGTTAATGCATGATAATGATGTGACAATGGAAAGTACTAATTCAATGTTATCAGAAATTTCGCCCACTTCGACAACGATAGAGGAAACTTTAACAACTTCTACTGCCTCCAGTAATCCTAGTATTTCTTCCTTGCTGTCGCCAAGTGTTTCATCGACACAAACAGCACCACATAGCATATTGGAAATCATGGATCCACCTCAATTTGTTCCTTCAATTTCTATGGTCCAAACTACTCCGCCGCCACCCCCAACTTTTACAGAAGTTTCTTATTCCCCGCTTGAAGAAAATTCAGTTGTTGATACTTCCATGGAAATACCGGAAATAGATTTCGATCATTCAAAAAAACCATATGGTTGTGGGATCGATGGCTGTACTTATACTTCCAATAATGCAAATGGTTTATTCTATCACTCAAAATCTGTTCACCCTGAAGCTGCGAATATTGATAAGCCATTTCAATGCGCGATGCCCGGATGCCACAAAAGATATAAAAATATCAATGGACTTGAGTATCATCTTAATAATGCCAAAGGCTCATCTGGACATAAAAATGACGCTACTGAAGAGGGAACTAATAATCAGTATGCACCAAAACCATATGAATGTAGAGTAGTTGGTTGCAAAAAAAGTTATAAAAATCAAAATGGCTTAACTTATCATTTGGAACATGCACATAATAACATCAATAACTCTAATAATATCGATGCGTCAAGGAAATCTATAAAAGTTACAAAAAATAATACATCTCAATCACTATCATCTAATAACGATAGTACACTCCGAACATCTTCTATTACTGGTGATCCTACTATTACCTTTGAATCTCGTAATTTGTCTGATCAGCATCTTGTATCCTCTATCAACAATACTATACGAAATGATATCAGATTTATTCTCCCACGTCCTACTCGATAGTGTTTTGGTAACAATTGAATAAATTTTTATCAGGTCATTTTTTATTGAATTTTTATCGTACCTTGTATTATTATACGATATTATTATTATTATTATTGTAATAAAGAGTATTATTAGGAGTGTTCGAAATCTATATCAATGAAAGTCGTATTAAATCTCTACTTATTTCCAATATATACGTTATGATTCCCGTTAACTTTCATTTTTACGATATATCAGACTTTTAATGAGGATTCTCTTAAATCCAATAGTTTATATTTCAAGTTCTTTTACTTGTAAAACCTCACCAAAGAATATACTGAATACAGTAAAACAAGATAATCCAGTCTATCACTATTAAGTAGACTTCTATAATATTAATGTTCATACTGAAAAAGAGCCGCTGCTGTGAATTTTAGAAGATTGAATGCAATAAAAATTTGAAAAGTAACGCGTTGAACAAGAGACATGAGAATTTGAGTAAAACGACTAACGCTAAGTAAATAATAAAACATTTTACCTTGTTATTTAATAATGGGAACTTTTTGTTCCAATGTATTCATAAATTCACGAATGTCATTTAATAACTTGTCCACTCCTCCAGTTTTGTCCCGATCTATGGCATCAGTAGGATGCCAATCTGGTGCTTCGCCAACCTTTAGATTGCAATTAAATGCAAAGTCGTCGTCCCAAGACTTTCGATAGAACTGTTGTATTAAATTCATGTATTAAAGAGTAGTTTGTTTTTTTTTTTACTTTGAATGACTGCCTGTTATCATCTTACCGTAACACCATAACTTGTGTTCACCGGCGCATCAAGATCCAGAATATTTTCTACACCAGTCTGCTTGTTCGGATCGCAGTTCCAAAACTCATACCTGGTCACCTCAACAATATAATCATCTTTCCACCAATGCTTCCATTTAGTCTTTTCACACACAGAGATTACTCGAACATCCTCGGTGTTAGTATAGATCAAATGCTTGCCTGGGCTAATATATCGATCAAATACGAAAGAATTTATTATAAATATCGAGAATATGAAGATTTAAGATGAAGGAGAAAATCTACCTGAGGCGTAAACGATATACAAAAAGCCCTTGCGATGAATGCTTGTCATTGGTCATACGTTTGGCAGCATCCAAGCTTATGCGCCAGGAATAATCGCTGTAAAAAGAATAAAATTAGACGTGAAATTACATAAGCTCTATGTATGAGCTTCTTGAGTGAAAATACAGCCAAACATACTTTTCCAGACATGTCATATTAATGTTCAAAATATGCTTTTCGTGCGCTACAGCATTCCATAAGCCAATCTTATCATCTTTCTTGAATTGCACATCGAAGGTGCAACCCCATTTTTTAGCGCCGTGCTCTGCTCGAATTTTGAATTCTCGGAAAGGAGAGCCTTCCCATAGTTTATCATTCTCTGAAAGCACTTCGAATAATGGTTCAAGCGCGTGACGATTGTCAGCAATACTTTGATACACAAGATGATTAAATTTCTATGTCAAATTAATTAGTCCAGATTTAAATGCGCTGATTACATACCAATTAGCGAACTTGGATTGTAATCGCGAATCACTCAAGACTCTATCGTTTAGTCTATCGACGTCCCATAAAGTTTGTTTTGGGAAATCCGTAAAACAAACATGGCCAAATCTATTATTATTCAGATAATTATATGAATGCATAAAAAAATCATGAGGAAATACGCAACGTATGAATGGGTAATAAGAGTTATTACCTAACACGCATTTTTATTTCTTCATCAAGTAAGTGTACTGTACTCAAACCTCGAAGAAGGGCTCTTTCAATCTTTGCGAGATTGTTCACATTAATGCTGATAATCGATTCATGTGATAAACATGTATTAATATACACTAAAAAAAAATAAAAACTAAAAAGACGCGAAATATTATAAGGAACTTACGATTGTAAAGACATTATATAAGCAGTTTTTTTCTTCAATGCTTCCTCGTTCATCCTTCTACACTCTTCCTCGGTTTGACCTAGTTTTTTTTCCTCATCAAATGCCACTGCTTCCAATACCATTATCTCACCAAACGCATCGTGAGGAAGTTTTAGATGTTTTGGCGGTATGACTATTTTTACTTTCGAGGGCGTTTGAGGCTGTTCTATCATATGGTAGCTCCATCCTCGGTATTGATCATCGTTTCCAGAATCTTTGGAAAATTTAGGAATTGATCGTAACTGTTGATGGAAATAATTTTAGGATAAGGATAATCCATATGTATATGTACATTGAAAAAATTCTAGACTCGAGGCAGGCAGGTAACACCAGTTCTCTATCTTACCGCAAAAGCTTTTAAATATAGATTCTTGATCCGCATCGTAGCTTCCTCGGTATTTTCGTAATTATCCCCAACAACCATAAAAGTCTAATAAATAAAATAAACAAAATTTAATTTCTCAATTCTAAGTTAATTTATAAAAGCAGCAGCATTTTTGCCCAAATTTAAATATTTCACTTACATTCTCCCCAGGTTCATACCACATGTAACACTTAGTTTCGGCACGAACAGAATGTAAGACTTCTTCTTTGTCGCCAACAATGCTCGAGATTTTTATGTCTTTATTAGGACACACAAAAAACCCATTATACAATCTTTTTTCGACAGAAAACCCTTGGTAGTCTTTCATCTCGTCCTCGCGTTTTTTCCTTCGTTCAAGTTTCTCAATCTGTTTTCTGGTCAAAGGTTTTTCGGGCTTTGCCCAGCTTCTAGACTTGTTCTTTTTACTTTTGCGTTCTTGGTCCTTTAACATAAATCATCACAACAACATCATCACATAGTAATATATTAACGAAAGATTGAATACCATAATGACTTACCAGCAAAAGATTTGAAGCCAATGAATTCCACTGTTTAATCGCCTGATCAATATCGGCTCGCGTCCCCCACAATTCAATTGTCTAATCAAATACATATTATGAAATCTTTCTGTCGTTTTTTATAAAAATCGGTGGATTCACAGATTATATAAAAATAAACATTTTTCTAACCGCATCTTTTTCATTATATTGCATATGTGTATTTGTTGATCTCTTTATTAACTCCATGGTACACCTTTTTTCGCCTAAAATATCTTGCGCTTTCATGTTAGGAGGAATCTAATTGCCAAAATTCGATTGATATCCAAGGAAAAATCAAGTTAATTATTGATGTATCATATAAAAAAAGTGTAAACTTCAAGTTGATTTTCTCATAAAGTTTTTTGAATTGATTTTTATTGCTTTTATTTAAACTCGCTGTAACAAATTATGAATATATTAGAATAGGATGCAAACCAGCCAAACATCGTCTGGCATGTTATTTCTAGGAATAGCATTATTTGTTAAATCCTCCTTCCAAGCCTGAGCTTCTTCAGCCTCACCAAGTTGTTGTTCCTGTCTGGGTGGCACAGGATCTCTCCACTCTTCTGCTTCCAGAGTTTCATAATCTAGTTCTTCGACTTGCATGTTGAATTTTGCGAACGAATTCGACATTTTGATTTCAAAATTTCGTGTCTACTCTAATATGGCAATAGACTTCAATCAAATTGATTCGCATCGTGCATTTGATCAACGAGTCAATCATTGTACTTGCACTCGTTCTTTTTTTTTGGTTTCATTTATTTATTTATTTATTTGCAAACATGGAGGTTGTTAAAAGCACAACAACCACCACCACTACAATAACAACAAATGGCGTAAGCTCTGAAAACAAGCCTGCAGATATTCCAGAAGCTGCAGAACTTCTTGCTACTGCTAAAGAAGCTTTAATAGCGCGTAAATATCAAATCGAGTTATGGGAAAAAGCAAAAAAGGACAATGTCATTGCGGTGTTGGAGACCGGAAGTGGCAAGACTTTCATAGCCGTTCTCCTAATAAAAGAGATTGCGGCCGAAGAACGACAGCTGAGGAGAATAAGAAGAGAGGTAAAGCACCTTTTACACGAATACTAGTGTTAAGATAAATGTAATACTGTAGTGCACTGCTTATAATACCCTCCCCCCAATAGAAACTTTAAACTTTAATTTTAATTTAGTCCAATTTTTTCAGTAAGACATTCATTTTTTCTCTGTCAAATGAATAATTCAAGATTCATGGTACAATTTCTTTAAAAAATTTTTATAGCTAAAGGAATGTTTTTGAGATTACTATAAACAGTGATCCATAGTAATATAATACGATTCGGTATTTTACACCGAAAAATCATTGATTGAATTTTATAAATCGATGCTGACCTTAGCTATTTTATTATAACTTTGATGTTTAATAGACAAAACTCACCTTTTTTCTGGTGAATCTGGTACCGCTTGTTTTTCAACAATCAAAAGTCATTGAATCAAATTGTGATTTGAAAATAAAGCATTTCTGCGGTGAAATGGGAGTAGATTTGTGGAAAGACAAACATTGGCAAAAGTACTTTGGAGAGTTCGACGTGCTAGTTATGACTGCTCAAATCTTTTTGAATATTTTACGCCACGGATTTATTTCGATGAATCGAGTGAGAGCAATATTTTTAAGTTTCATCTTGTATTTTGATAATACGCATATAGCGTGTTATCTTGATCGTTGATCATCCTTTCTGATATGCACAGGTTAATTTGCTGGTTTTTGACGAATGCCATCACGCTGCAAAAAGACATCCATACAATCTAATAATGAGAGAGTTCTTTGATCGATGTCCCGAAAAAGACAGACCCAAAATATTCGGAATGACAGCTTCTCCTGTGAAAGCTCGCACTGGTATTCATGCAGCTAGGTTAGCCTCTTAAAAATAATATTTGTAATGCGTGGGAATAATCATCACGATAATAATAATAACGATAGAGTATTTATAAAAAAACAAATATATATACACTAAAAAAATTACAGTACTCTTGAACGTAATCTACACTCAAAGGTATTCACAGCAAGTAATACTGACGAATTACGTCGTTTTGTCAATCGCCCTGAAGAATTTTCGATCACTTATGATGTACCACACGAGTATCAACAGACAGAGCTCTACTCGACGTTATGGAAAGAATGTCAGGGAATAGAAAAGTTTGAGAAAGCTTTTTCGAGTGCAGAACAGATACTTTCTGTGCTTGGGCCTTGGTGTTCCGATCGTACGTGGAAGTATATTTTAGACGAGATAAACGAGAAGAAAGAAGGAACATTGGATCCTAAAGAGTATGATCACGATCTACTTGCGGAAGAAGAACGCCTAGTGCAAAGAGCGTTGATGATATTCGAAAAATGGGATTTCGGACCACCGAAACTTGATCCAAGTATTCTCTCGCCGAAGGTTATAAAATTGATTCAGATATTGGATTGTTTTCGAGAGATTAAGGACGAGTTTTGTGGAATTGTATTCGTGGAACGTCGGCATACGGCAAATGTCTTGGATCTTGTGATTCGTGAGATTGGGACGTTGGATTTTATTAAAACCGGAATACTTGTAGGTCATGGAACAAATGAATCGGGTGATCTTCAGATGAGATACAGGCAACAAAACAGGGTAATCAATGCTTTCAAAAATGGAGACCTCAATTTACTTATTGCTACTAATGTAGCTGAAGAAGGTTTAGACATTCAACCTTGCAATGTTGTCATTCGGTAAGAATGATCTAAATTCGTAGAATTCACAAGTTTAATATTCTATTGATATTATACTAATGAATTCATTTCAAATCTTCAGATTTGATTTCTTTAATACACTCCGAGCCTACATTCAGTCCAGAGGAAGAGCTCGACGCAAGGATTCAAAGTATATTGTGATGATTGAAAAAGGAAATACCAAAGAGCTGGGTTTACTACAAGAAATGCATGATTCCGAAGAAGAAATGAAAAAATGGTGCGAAATGCTTCCAGAAGACCGTAAAGTAACGGCAGGTGTGGAAGAAGATGATGATGATGACGACGACGATGATGAAGAAGATGGAATAAAAGAGCGAATTCATATAATTCCAAAAACAGGAGCTCTTTTAAGTTATGAATCTGCTGTTTCACTGTTATATTATTATTGTTCTAGTCTACCAGCCGATAATTTTTCCGGCACTTTGCAACCAGAATTTATCAGCAAGCGTGAATGTGGTGGCTATGTTTGTACATTGAACTTACCTAGTAACTCCCCTGTTAGAACCGTGGTTAGCGAAGTTTTTCGTAATTTTGGTATGGCCAAGAAATCGGCAGCCTTCAATGCATGTATAGCATTGTACGAGAAGAAGGCATTAAATGATAACTTGCTACCTTCTGTGGAATATGATGAAAAAGACCACGAAATGATGAAGCATGTAGATGAGCATGGTCTTGTGGAAGGTGCGAGGAAATCTAAAAGAGATTATCGTCTAAAATCTCCTGAACTATGGGCTTTAGAAGAAAATCCTCAAGTTCCTGAGGAACTTTATGCAACTATCTTGAAATTGGATCTTGAAGATGAGAAATTAGATGGGTATCCTTATCGCACATTGTGTTTATTGACCAGAAATCAATTCCCCGATTTGCCTGATATCACGCTTTGGTTCCACAGTGTTGCGGTAAATCTAAAAATTCTCCCTTATTCAGAAAAGATCAAAATGGACAAAGAAAGGGTAGATTTAGTTTTAAAGTTCACCTTGCGTGCCTTTACCTCAATCATCAACAAAGAGTTTCAATGTGAACTTGAGAAATTCACTTATCTGATTGCACCACTAGTTCGCAATGCTCCCATTAACGAGGACACTCTAAAGTACATCGACTGGGATGCAATCGATATAGCAGTAAATCTCAAACATCTACCAGTTGATCTCGATAATATAAGCGAGTTGGAAGATGCCGTAATCATTGATTACGCAGATAATTTACGACGATATTTTGTTCAATCTATTCGATATGATATGAATCCTTTGGCTCCCCTTCCAGAAGGCATGGTACTTCGTGAAACCGGCTGTGAAAACTTTGCTCAATATTACAAAAAGTCATTCGAACTTGATCTTGAGCATCCAGAACAACCATTGATTCAAGTACGCAAAATCTCCAAAGTCATGAACTTTTTACAACCTGTTCTCGGAGCTCTTCCGATTGAAAAAGGAAAAACCGCAACCTTTATTATTCCCGAATTCAGCAAACAATATCCGATTAGAGCATCTGTATTCCGTTCTGCCATGCTGCTACCATCAATATTTACAAGATTTGACTCGCTTCTTCTTGCGAGGGAATTGAGACTTCGTTTCGAATTACCTGTAAGAGATGACTTGCTCCTTGTAGCATTGTCTACTCCATCAGCAAATATGGAAATGAACTATGAACGCCTCGAAACTTTGGGTGATTCTTTCTTGAAATTCTCTGTAACCATACAACTTTATGTCATGTTTCCTGACAAACACGAAGGTCAACTGCATTGCCAACGTATTCATATTATCTGTAATAAAAATCTATATCGTAGTGCGAAAAAATTGCATCTTTACGAATACATTACTTCTTTGCCATTCAACCGGCGTGCGTGGCGACCAGCAAATATACTTGCGTCGATTGACGATCCGGAAATGCTTGAGAAACAAAAAATGCATGAACTAGCTGATAAGACTCTTGCCGATGTGGTTGAAGCTTTATTAGGCGCTGCCTATCTCAGTGGTAAAGCCGAAGCAGCTTTGAAGGTCGCAATTGCTATGGAAATCCCATTTGAAGGAATTACCACCTGGTCGCAATTCCATCAAAATAACAAAAATCCGCCTCGTGCCAACCCAAAATCTCTTAAAGGCCTAAACATTGAAAAGATTGAACAAATTTGTGGTGGGCATGTTTTCCGAAATAAGATTCTGATTGCCGAGGCTTTGACTCATGCTAGTCTGCCGAATTCGTCAACAGCATGTTATCAACGTCTCGAATTTTTGGGTGACGCTATTTTAGACTTTATGACTGTAAAATATTTATTTGAGAAATATCCCGACGGATCCCCGGGAATGATTACTGACCTTAAAGATGCCTCCGTAAACAACCATATTCTTGGAGCTATTTGTGAAATTATGGGATTGCATAAACACATCATTCACTTTTCACCAAAGCTTATGTCTGGTATCACCGATTTCTGCAATGTCGTGAATGATATGAGGGCTAAAGGCGAAGCTGTCGGTGAATATTGGAGTGATATCGAAGTGCCTAAAGTTCTTAGTGATGTAGTTGAAAGTATGTTAGGAGCGGCCTTCGTTGATTCCGGTTTTGATATTACGGTCATACAAAACATGTTCGACAAATGTATTAGGCCAGTTCTTAGTACTCACGTAACTCCTGATACTTTGAAAGTTCATCCTGTGAAGAAATTAACAGAATATGTGCAAAAAGAGGGATGCACCATGTTACTGTTGAGGTATGTACAAACTGAATGTAGCTTTTGTCTTGTATTAATTATATAAAAATACAGGGTAATAATTTTATTGGCATTTTGTGTCGAATAGAAATCACACTGACGAAAATAGTCTCGACAATGATTCACAACATTGCACGATTTTCATTCATGATTTACGCGTCGCGTCTGCATCATCAAACAATATCCGGACTTCGCGAAAAATGGCCGCTCAACAAGTTCTGGATAAAATTGAAGCAAATCCTGGATACTTCGAATCAGTGTGCACATGCTGTTTACCTAGCGATGACAAACTCCTAAACCCTGATGAAGATGATGAAGTGTTGATCGATTGAAAATATATAACAGAAAAAAGAAAGGCAACAAAAACCAAGTTGAAGCAAATTTATTTTTCACTACATATCTCTGGTTATTACTATTACTACTATTATTTTCATATAAGTATACTCATTTATCTTTTTTTTTCTTTATTGAAATCCATGTCAATAAATTTAATCCCAAGTCTCATTATGGGCAAACAGAGAGTTGGTCATAATGCGACTTGGGATTAAATTTAGGCTTGCATTTTTCGTCTTATAACTGAACCATTATTTTATGGGCTATACCTTCATTTATATCGTACAATTTTTGTTTTCTGTTATTTTACGTTTACGACCAACTCTGGATACATAACGAACGCGGGGTATAACGAACTCTAAATTTTTAAATTTATTAAGAGTTCGCTATATTAAATATAATTAATAGAACCGTTAGAGTTCATTTAAACATTGATCGTATAAATACAGTTTAGGTTTCTCATATTGTCATAGGGCGATTAAAATAGAAAATCGAAAATATATGATACAATTGCATTTCTTAAATACAACCAACCATAAAATTGCTTAATTCCATGAATATTGATTTTAGAGACTTTTATACTGATTTGTAGCCAAAAACAAGATCTAGAACTTTAATTAGAACCATATTGAATGTTTTAAAGAGATTTACTTTGACAAAAGTAAATCGTTCAAATTTCATCTTTGAATAGACTATCTTGAATCATTTCGACCAAAGGCCGGTTCGTCGGAAATGAAGCATACATAGTTTTTTTATTGTCTACACGATCATTACTACACTCATTCTGTTTGCTCTTTGGTGGCATTATTTATGATTATACTTTTCACTGAAAAAATTTTATTACAAATCGAAAAATAAAATGATTGTGATAAAGGGGCCAAAAATGTCATGTTATTTCATTCATTGTAAAATATAGCCAATAGTGGATGTTTGTCCAACAATACAGTCAATTATAAAGAAACCATGCCTTTAATCTTTTAAGACGTTGGTTATCAAGACTGACCAACACTAAAAAATTTTCCCCGTTACTAGAATGTAAGTAATTCATCCTCGACAAAAAACAATTGTTTTGTGACCCCTATATCAACATAATAGCCTCACATATATACGAGACCAGTTCAAGTCACTTGATATCAGCGGTTTGCTGTTAACCACGCGCGTTAATATACGTGTCTATACGCGTCCATATATATATATATTCAGCTTGTGGTTCGAGTTCGGCAATTTAAAGAGTCTTTAAGCGAAAAAATTTCGTATAAACATTAGAATTATACTAATTACATTTACTTTATTGTTTATTTTATTTTTTTCGGGAAAATTGATAGTTTACTCATTAAACCAATTCTGAAAATTTTCAAAACAATACCGAGAAACTTTGGGAAGCACGAGAGTACTTGTCAATTTTTTTCAAGTAGAAATTTCAAAAAAATAAATTAATAATATTTGTATGTACAGTGATTGTTTATTTTTTCAAAAAAATACTGTTTTCAAAATCAATGACCTAATTTTTATTTTTATTTTCCGTTTATGGTAATTACAAAGAACACAAAAAAGCAATGATTTCAGATTCCTATTCTTCCCCAATAAGCACCCCATCTCCTGCCTCATCTTCAACACTAACAACTACACCCATCTTAACACACGGTGAATTTCGATCCTCGCCGAAATATTCATCCTCAGACTATCCACTTCCAACGAGAACGACTGGTGTTCCAATAAATTGTCTCGTAAATGCATCAGTCACGATAGTCCCGAGTGGGAATAATTGGGACCAACCGCCTGAGTATCTTTATGTCTTTGGTGGGTTTCATCAATATACAGATGAAGTTTATAATGATTTATATAGATTGAATGTGTCAGAAATGAAATGGGAGGATGTGATCTATTTGAAAAATTCACCTCCATCAAAACGAAATGATCATACTGCATCGCTGTGGAATGACGATAAACTAGTAATATTCGGTGGAATGGATGCAGAAGATCAGTTCTGCAATGATATTGTTTATTTAAATTTGAAAACAATGACGTGGGAAAGACCAGTGGTGCAAGGGAATATTCCACCTGGCAGAGCCAAACATTCGGCCACAATTTATCAAGATAAATTGTATATCGTGGGCGGTACAATGGAAGAGGGAGAGGTTTTAATGGGCGTTAATTGTCTGGATTTAATTACGTGGACATGGGAAGAACCTTTTACCTTCGTGAAAAGACATTCACATTTTTCGTTTGTATATCAGGGTCGACTTTTCGTCTATGGTGGATATACGGAAGAAATGGACCGTGAGAGTTCATTGGCGGTGATAGATCTTCAAACTAAATCAATATCAAAAATTGATATAATGAGTGATATCGCTCCAGAAATGAATGGTCAACATTTTGCACAATCATGCGGTGATAAACTAATGGTCGTAGTAACACAATCACCAAAATACGGCGCACAAGAAGTCAATACCGGAGTTTGGGCGCTCGATCTAAAAGTTTTTCAATGGGATCAGCATAAAGGTGGTGAGAGACTTGTTCAGGGTAATTGGCATTATTTTGCTATGGCAGAACATTCGCCACGATTCTTTTTATTTGGCATGGACGAGAAAGATTCGGACGAATATTTTTCAAACGTGTTATGTGTAGATCTCCAAGAATATGGTATACTTCAAATTCCACCTTCATCAATGTGCATGGATTTCCGTAACTTATTTGATGATCAGACCACGTCCGATTTCACTATTCGAGCTCAAGATATGGATTCGAAGCCAATCAGCGTACACAAAATTATTCTTCTTGCTCGATGGCCACATTTCAACAACATGATCAGTTCGGGCATGACAGAATCGTTTAGCACAACGTTAACGATTCCCGAGTCCTATCCAACTGTGCACGCCTTTATCTTGTTTCTTTACACCGACAATATCGATGAAACTCTTCCCACTCAAATCACCGCTGATCTCCTAATCCTTGGTCACATGTACTTCCTTCCTAGATTGATTGCGTTATGCCGTCTTCAACTAAATCAGAATCTAGAAGTTGATAACGCCGCGATAATCTATCATTGCGCTTCTGTCGCCGGTGAAAATGGCCTAAAGAAACGTGCTCTTCGATTTATAAACACTAATTTCGGCCCCGTCTCTAAAACAAATGGGTTTAGAACATTACCAAAGTCAGTCTTGTTCGACTTTTTGGACAGTCTTCCAGAAAAGGCAAAAATTAGTGTTAATGACGACGATGAATAGTTTTTGAATTCTTTCGTTAATATGAACATTGCCGAAGCTTAGGTAGGTCTAGACTTCTTTCAATTCTTTTAATTAATTGATGATCTTATTGATCTATGCCTGTTTATAATTTCTCTTCGTCAAAACTTTGTATGTATGCCAGGAAAATCATCTTGCAATCTTTCTTAAAAAATAATAAAAATAATCAATCCTAAACATAGATGACGTATGTGCAAGATCTACAACTTGTATGCATGTAATTTAAAATTTTTTAAATTGACCAATAATATTCCAAATCTTTAATTATTATAACTTGGCATTTAGAATTTAATTTGTTAGTTGTACCAAACGTGGATCTCTTTGACCAAAAACGGATAAAAAATGCAATACGATGATTTGCGTACGTGGTGAGACATTATGAGTAATGTATAATTTTTAATTTCTTTGATCTAGATTTCGATTTAAAATTTTTTTCTTCCTATTGCTGTATTGTATCGCTGCTTCTTATACTTTTACCATTTTTCAGTGGTTATATCTACATATACATCAGATTACCTTTATATTATTATTATTTATTATAGAACTAGTAATATTATTATACGCTTTTCTTCGTATCCTCTTTCCTCCTTTGTGCTCTATCGTCCAAGAAGAAGACAGAGAAAACAATGTATACAAAGCACAAACCCAAAATATCTGTGTCGATGTTACATACATTATTTATTATGCATCGATATTATGGATGGCGGTCATCAAGTGGTTTTTCAAACTGTAACGTGGTTCCAAAGTTTGATGTATCTCTCTCTTCGTCGTCATTCTTAGCAGTCCCCTCTTCTCGCTACTCTTAAGCGGAAAGGAATATACATATTATTCCCTATATTTTTTAACACCACTTTCATTTATCATTTTCTCGGAAATGAGTCTTTGTCTCCTCTGACATACTTCCGAAATTGCAGACAATCAGTAAAAGCTTGTTGGACAGGCAACAAGGTCAAACAAGTACTACCGATACCACCACTACCTCCTCTATCCTCACGCCATCAGCATCTATTGTTAACAGTAACCGCGATCTATCTTACGTTTCGTATTTCACCTCCAATTATCGTCAAACAGGCTTTGAAGCCTATAACAACTTAGATCTAAGTGTAGGAAATTCAAACATGAGTACATTTCAATCGCAAGAAGGAGAAGACCGGAATCGGGGACAGAACTCTGGTAAAGTATTCAACCTCTACATTTTTTCAATGCCTCTGTTAAACTTGGTTACTTATCATCATCGTCATATACCGCCCTTATGTTGTTGCCAATACAGAGGAAACGTTTGGTAGCAATGTTATTGACCGTCGCACCAATGGCATCATATATTCTCGTAGGCCCGGTGAGGTCACGGAGATTAGCGTCAGCGAAACTTTTGATTTCTCGCAGCATCATTTCTCCCACCCACTTAACTCATCTTCGTTTAATCAACCACACCGAGATTATTCTACAATTTCCACCACTAATTCTACCGCCAACGGCAAAAGTTCGATTGATCCAATTACCCGGCCTGTCAAATTTCAAGATAGGCGAAAAAATAACGATGATTGGCGTAATGCCACGACTACAGGTGCAGGAGAACGCGTAAACAGAAAATCAGCACACATTCAAAATCAACCATTGTCTTTTCGACCTCCTCCACCACCTCCGATTACTATTACTGATAGCCAAAGTATGGTAAGAAAGCGACCATTATCTCCAATGTTATCAGTCGAATCATTTAATCAACAAAATAATCGGCAACGAATGTCAAATACTCCTCCTTTCCCACAGGACAATTATAATACAAATAGACAATTTTCCCCTTTTCTACCACATGAAAAAGACTATGGGTACACAAATGCACAAACACGACGGCGAAATTCAATATCGTCACAATTGGTGCCTACTAGAAAAAGATTGACACCTAAACCCTTAAGCGTATCACGCACCACTTCTCTGCCAAGACATTCCAAATCACTACCTAAACGCACTAGTTCACCTGTAAAACAAAAATTTCTAAAAGAATTTTATACCATAGATTTTATACACTCAAATTTTGATACAAGATCTGTCTTAGAGAAGCAAGAAAATGCAGAATGGCTAAAAAATCCAAAAAGTTATCTCAGCAATCGCACGTATTTTTCTTCAAGATTTCAAACAGTTGCTGACCAATTCTTTCGAGCAACAGTTACGTTAGAATTAGAAGAAAAAACATATATTGGTCAGGGGGATTCTACTAAAAAAAAGGAAGCAGAAAAAATAGCTGTACTCCATTTATTGTATCAACTTGAAGCGCAAGCTATGTTGAGTAAATTAAAAAGTTCCCAAGATGGTCTTGATTCTGAATCTAAGACGCATGTATTTGAATATTGTGCAAGATTCGATCATGTTCCTTACTTTAAACTCGTTTCAAATGGTCGTTTTGATTGGCGTGCAGAAGTGGATCTCCCTTCTCAGGAAATTGTTGGTCGAGGACGTGGAAGAACAAAGAAAGAGGCAGAGCTTAGGGCTTCACAAGATTTCAAGAGACAAGCTGAAGAATACCAAGCACGGCATGGAGGGGAACCTCTCTCAAAAACAGAAGGAAAAACTATGAACGAGGAAACATCTAAAGATTTTATTCGTTATTATACTAAATATTTTAAATTCAAAAGCCCCGAATTTAAATATCAAGCAGTTGGGCCAAATAGAAGTACGATATGGGATGTTTCAATTATAGTTGAAAATTCCGTTATAGGGAGTGCTCAGCGACCATCTAAACGTGATGCACAAATAGCTGCCTTTCTGGATGCTGCTATTGGCTTGCGAAAAGAATCACCTCAACTATGGGAAAAATTCGAAAAAACCAGAAGCAAAGATGGAGGTCAAAGATCATTGCCTTTAGTTCCTTTAAATATGGGGGAGGGAACGCATCGTATTCTTCGGAATCTTGTTTATGATATACGAGATGCACCAATGTTTTCCGAGCCTAATTCGCTAAATGAAATTGAATCAAGTTGGAAGAAACCAATTACTACGTCTCAAAATAAAAAAACAGCAACAAAAGCAAAGAAAGCAAGGCACGAAACTCCTGAGAAAGCAAAAATTCTTAACGCAAAATCCGAACAACTTTATGCTTCTTTTCAGAAATATTTAACTTCGAATGAGACTAAGAAGATGCGTGCTATTCGACATAATCTTCCAATTACACAATATGCCGAGACAATAATGAAAGTTATGGAAGAGAATCCTATAATGGTAATTGTAGGAACAACCGGCTGTGGTAAGACCACTCAATTGCCACAACTTATTCTCGAAGAAGCAACAAGGAAAAAAAATGGAGCACGTTGTAATATCATTGTTACGCAACCCCGTAGAATTGCTGCTATTTCTGTTGCTCAACGTGTTGCTGTTGAGAGATCAGAAAAATTAGGAGTCACAGTGGGATATCAAGTTCGTTTTGAAAGTGTAATGCCATCTACCTCTGGAAGCATTCTATACTGTACTACCGGTCTTTTCCTGCGTCGTCTCCATGATGAACAGAGTAACAAAGACCCCCTCGAGGGCATAACTCATATCGTCATAGACGAAGTACACGAGAGGGACATGAACACTGACTTTTTATTAGTGATTCTAAAACGTCTTCTTGACGAAAGGCGACGTAGTAATCAGCCTCCGATTAAGTTGATTCTCATGAGTGCAACAATTGATACGGGAATATTTGCAGAATACTTTGGCAATTTCTTTCCGAATGGTAAATGTCCAGTTATTGAAGTACCCGGTAAAATTTATCCTGTTGAAAAATTTTATCTGGATGATATAATAACACAGTTACAGACATCATATCAACCATCGGAAACACCTCAATTCAATACAAAAGACGTTAAAAAATATATTGATCGTGAGATGAACCTTGTAATTCAACCAAAATCTTCAGAGATGGAAACCAATAATCAGAATGGTGAAGCAGAAGAAAATGACAATGCATCTGTGGAAACATCGTCATCTGAAACAATTATTGATTGGAGCAAACCAACAAAACAACAGAAAGACGATGAATTGGCCGATGCTGAAATTCCATACGATCTAATGGGATTAATACTTGCACATATCGCCAAGACAGGCAAAGAGGGTTCCATTTTAGTTTTTTTACCTGGATGGGAGGAAATAACTGCCCTAAATAAACTTTTGACTTCTCGTACACTACTAGGTGTTAATTTTAATGATCAGAGTAAATTTACAATACACATGCTCCATTCTTCTCTTCCATCAATATCACAAAAACAAGTTTTTGACCCATTGCCTAATCCAGGTATGCGAAAAATCATTCTAGCGACAAATATTGCCGAAACTTCAATTACCATTCCAGATATTGTGTTTGTTATTGATTCGGGAAAACTTAAAGAAAAACGATACGATCAATCAAAACGAATGACTGCTCTAATTACTACTTGGATCAGTCAATCAAATGCACGTCAAAGAGCCGGCAGGGCTGGACGTATGCGTGAAGGCGTCTATTACTCTATGATGTCAAAAAAACGTTATCAATGCATAGAAGGCTTTTCAACGCCGGAATTATTGCGCTCAGACCTGCAAGAAATATGCCTGCAAATTAAGGCACTTGATCTCCCAACAACGATTGCTGATGTACTCGCCGAGGCAATTGAACCTCCGGACCATGTTAGTGTGACTGCTGCTCTTGATAGTCTAAAAACATTACAAGCTCTGGATAACGCTGAGGAGTTAACACCACTTGGAAGGGTTCTGGTTACATTACCAGTAGAACCCGCTTTAGGAAAGATGGTTTTATTAGGTACAATCTTTCAATGTTTAGATCCAATTCTTACTATTGCGGCATCCATGGGCTCCAAAAGCCCATTCTTCTCTCCACCTGGTCTAAAACAACAATCAGATGCGATTAAAATGTATTGGGCACGAGGACAATCAAGTGATCATTTCGCAGTTTTGAATGCTTATAAGGCTTGGTACGAGATTCATTCAGCTGGCAAAGTGTCCGAAACTTTCAAGTTTTGTTCTGATAATTTTCTTAGCCGAAATGGATTACAAAATATTGAAAGGATTAAAACTCAACTGTTGAATCTTTTAGAACGTAGTGGAGTTGTTCCCCGATCAAATCAATACGGACAAAATAAACGAAGAGCAGGATTAACAATCGGTCCAGCGGAATGTAACATGAACGCGAATTGCGTTCCTTTACTTCGTGCTATAATTTGTGCTGGTGTCTATCCCAACATTTCTGTTCAGATCACAAAAAGAAAACTTGGCACCCGTGATGAAAATACCACAATGCATCCTTCTTCTGTAAACAGTCCGAATCGTCACGAAAAAGGTGGGGATAAGGGGAAAGATAAACAAGGCGAATCAAATTCCGCCGTCTCTGGTACACTATACGCATACTCTGAAAAAGTAAAATCGACCAACTCTCAAATATTTCTTCGAGATATCACCCGCGTTGACCCATTATCTGTGATTTTATTCGGCGGTAAAAGTGTATTAGTCTGTAATGACCGATCCGCTCAAATAATAATTGAAGAGTGGCTGAAATTCGATGGACATGAACGCGTTTTGAGCCATACAGCAACACTAAAATCAATGTTGGATCGTTGTCTGACTAATGTCTATCAACGATTAGAGAATCAAAATTGGACCAAAAACAAAAGGAGAAATAGCTTTAATGATCCTTATTTTATGTATGATGATCGATATAAGAATGATCCTTACTCTGCATATTATAATTACGACGACGACGAAAAAGTAAAGTATTTTCTTGTCAATGGAATTGCTGACATTTTGATTAGTTTGAATCAAGATATGAAAGAGCAGCAAAAAGACCAGCAAAAAGAAAAGCATCGATCAAGACAATAAATTTATCAGTTATTCACGCATAAATTATACATAATCTTATCATTTCCATTTACCATCATCCCTTTCTTTATTATATTACGAATTCAACTTTATTTCAGTATACAAAATATATTATAATTTACTATCTCTCAATAACCGACAATAGAATATTAGCATAGACTAAAAAATCTTTCCTTTCTGTACTATATATATTTCTCTCTAGATACTTACCATTCGTGTACACAAAAAATAAATGAATAAACCCGTCAATTCCAGTTTGGTAATAAAAGGGAAAGCGAGCATTAATCTTCTGGAAAAATGACATCATGCAGGCGGAAATTTTTTAATATTGCATTTTTTTGTCTTGTTTGATAGTACTGTTTATTCTCGATCATTTAAGACGATGAAATACGAATTTATTCCCTCCAGAAAAAGGTTAGTCGAACTAAATTTTATTGAGGGAACTGATCTTTTTGATTACAAGTTCCCACGACATCCTGATCACACACAAATCAAACAGGTATAAAAGAGTGCCAATTTTTACGTTTGCATAATAAAAAAAAATGATCAAAAATCTATTGGAATTTGGCACACGCCATCTCGTGCGTGGAATCTCACGTAAATCCGATTTGGTAGTGGATAAAGCATGTGGTGTGTGGATATGGACAGTTGATGGGAGAAAGTATATGGATTTAACTACAGGAATTGGTGTTACCTCGACAGGTTTATATCATTTGATATATTTAAATTACTATTAGGATCGATCAAAGAAGATAACGAACGAATGTTTTTTTTTCAAATATTAATCAGGTCATAATCATCCAAAAGTTGTTAAAGCTGTGCAAGCTCAAGCGGCAAATTTGATTCATGCACAAGTTAATATTATTTAGGATATTGATAAAAAAAATAACTATTGATTTTCTTAAAACTTAAAATCGATCAAAAAAAAAACATAATTTAATTAACATAACAGGTTAACATCGTTCTCCATAAACCGATGCTTGATCTCGTCACAAGATTGATTCCCGTGATGCCATCACGAGAACTTGATTCGTTCTTTTTCACGAATTCTGGCGCCGAAGCTGTCGAAAATTCGATCAAATTGGCACGAACCGCGACGAAAAAACAGAATATTATTGTGTTCACAGGTATGATAATTTATTACAGTCAAAAACTCGATATAATGATATATTGATATAATGATGACTAATTAAAAATTCTATATAATGATGACAACCCAAAAAATACTTCTAATAAACTTTCCTCAATTAATGAATTCTCGATATAATGATACTTTTACTAATGTTCATTATATCGAGATTTTACTGTGATCCTAATCTGATGATTTATTTGATCGGGTTGCTTAATTATATAGGATCATATCATGGTAGAACTATTGGTACTATGGCACTTACGACTTCGAATACCATTTATAAAGCGGGGTTTGGCCCATTAATGGTAAGCAGTTAGTTTGACAAGATTAAAAATTCAATTTACCTTATATAAATCTTAATATTAAGACAGGCGTGCACGTTGCTCCATATCCATATTGTATAAAATGCCCAGTTCATCGATCGTCTCCAAAAACCTACTCCTCAACCAACTGCTGCTCTGATCCAATCACTCAGCTACAACTACTTCTAAAACAACAAACGGCACCACAAGAGACAGCCGCCGTAATCGTAGAACCAATATTGGGTGAGGGTGGATATGTAGCTCCACCCGCGGATTTTCTCGGTGAACTACGCAAAATTTGCACGAAAAATAATATCTTGTTGATTGCTGATGAAGTGCAATGCGGGTTCGGTCGTACCGGGAAAATGTTTGCTGTGGAACATTATAATGTAGTGCCGGATATTTTGGTGATGGCTAAAGGGATTGCTAGTGGATTTCCGTTGAGTGCTATTGCTACGAGGAAAGAGCTGGCTGATACACAGACTCCTGGGAGTATGGTATGTTGTTATTAATTAATTGTACTTTAGGATGTTGATCATTAAATTCTTTTTATTAAATCAAAAGGGTGGAACTTATGCCGGCAATGCTGTATCATGCGCTGCAGCCAGTGCAACATTAGACGTTTTCAAAGAAGAGAAAATACTGGAAAATGTAAATTCAAGGCAACTATCATTTTTCTATTGTACATTCATTAAATGATTATTTCTTCATTTGTGATTACATGCTAATAGCATCTTAATAAAATTAGATCAGCACAAATTTTCGGTCTTTTGAAAACAACAATCACTCCACTTTTCCAGTCAACCACAATATCTCTCGACATTCGCGGTCTTGGTCTAATGGTCGGAATCGAATTTCAAAACGCGCCACCAGGATTCGCCGCCGCAATCACAACGGAAGCTCTAGAAAAACATGATTTAATCTTGTTAACTACCAGTATTTATGAAACATTGCGTATAATTCCACCACTAAATATCACCAAAGAAGAGGTTGAAGATGGTATGCAGAGATTGGAGAAAGCTGTGAAATCTGTGGTTGAGAAGTGGCGATCAGAGGGAAAATTATAGTAATCACCGAAAAATCCTTAATCAGTTGAATCGTACTTTCTTTACGACTATTTTTCATTTAAATTTAATACCGCTTAAATAAATTATCTATTAAAAGATTGACAGATGGCAGAGTATTTAATAATAGCATTTTAATTAATTTAATTGGGAATGGGTGATGATGAATCGGATGAATTTGTCTATTTTTGTCTTATAATCATTAATGACTTTAATTCGATTCGAACTTATATGGTGCATAACATCTAAAGTCATCAAACATTTGTATTTTATAAAATGTATAAACATCTTTACTAAAAAATTTAATTCGTGAATATGATAGAATAGGTCCTTTCTGAGCATATTCACGGATTAAATTTGGTATTCACTTCTTAGTAAAGAAGTTTATACATTTTATCAAATACAAATGTTTGATGACTTTAGATGTTATGCACCATACCTATATACACTATCAGAAGTCCAGCTCATTAAGCATCACCAGAAATGACTCTTTAATTTAAAATCCGATTACCAAACTATCACTAAAACCACAAACATCACAGCTACGGTATTAATAGAATCAATATTAAGCGAGGAAGTATATATGTATGATTCCACAAACAAATTTCTTTGTGAAATTTACTCGGAAACTAATTTTTAATAATCCTCAATGAAATACAATTTGGATTTGGTCGTACCGGGAAAATGTTCGTTGCCGGATCTTGTGGTGATGAGCAAAGGTCTCGCTAGTGGCTTTCCTTTATTGCTGGGAGGATGGCTTGATGTAAATTGATTTTTGGTTGAAACCTATGATTGTCATGCTGTAGTATGTGCTACAGCAAATGCAACACTGTGAGTTTTCAAAGAAGAGAGATTATGATTTTCTTTGACGTTCATTTATTTAATTGTGAATAAATGCTAATCAAAACTTTGCAAATCAGCGATTGATAATACTAAATCAAAACAGAATTTCAAATTATTAAAATCAAAAATACCCCGCCCTTCTAATTAACCACGATATCTGTCAATAGTCGTGGTCTCGGTCGATGATTGGTATCGAATTTCAGGATGAACCAAAAGAATTCACAAACGTAATTATGAGAGAGATATGAATTACTCTTGCTTCCTGTCAGCAGTCACGAAACCATAAGTTTAGTTTCTCCGTTAAACATTACCGACGATGATTAATCTTTGATTGAAAAATGGTAATCGGAAGGGATAGAGATTATATATGATTAGCGCTCGCATTTATAAAGGGTTATTTGTATTTTGAGATGAAATATTATCATTTTTTTTGCATAATAATTAACAATAATATCATATGACAAAGTTAAATCACATTACATTACATTACATTACAGATTGGAGAGTTGATTAATCAAAGTTTCGCTTGAATCATTTTTTATCCACTTTTTTCGTCATTTCAAGAAATGCATTCCAGCTAACTTTATCAGGCATCATCCTTTCCCAACATTTAATATAATCATCCTCATCGTCATCAATAGAAGACGACGAATCATTACCATTTATATTCAAAGTATTAATCGTAGAACCATTATTAGTCATCGTTTCTCCTCTTTTTCTCAATTCAAAAATCCTTTTAAGTAATTTAATACGTCGCTGTACTTTCTCATGTAATAATCGATTTCTCATCACTAGTTCATGAGTGCTCAAGTCTCGGTAATCCCGATTTTCTTCTTTTTCTCTATGTTTTTCTTCGGTTGTAGAATTTTTATGAATACCATCGTAATTCTGCTTGTTATTATCACCAGTAATACTATCAATTCTTTGAGAGAGTCGAACTTTATGTATCCGATGTTGAGCATTAACCAACATTTTTATATCATCAAACGAAATCTCTTGTTCCTCTTGCACAACAGGAGAGCGAGAATCTCGACATTGAGAATTCCCACTTTTGGATTTTTTGAAAGACGGTAATTGCCCATTTGATATTGTCTGTTGTTGTATCTGTTGGTGGTGCTTTGAATGTAATAGAGAGGAATGACGACAAGTTTCTCGTTTATGCATTTTGGTTTTCGAGTGTTGATAATGCTGCTGCTGGTGATAATTTAAAAGGTGGTCTAGATCTTGAGAACAATCAATAGGGTATTGATAATCTTCCTCGTCATAGACGTCATTGTTATTTCTTGCTTTTGAATTACAGTTATCTGATAATTCGATTCTAGGAAGGCCTTTTGCAACTTTTCTTGTTTTTGGTATTAGTGGTTGCTGTTTTCTCATGTTTGAATTTTATTTTTTTTGTGTATGTCGCACCAAGATATTAATCCTCAATTTTTGGCCAGCATTTATAATTATGCAAAAGTTTTACGATTGAGATTACACTAGATCGTATATAGCAAATTCTTATTAATTAATAATGGCTTTGAGGATACTCAAATCTGTCGAAATATATGATTTTGACAGAGGCAAAAATATGTACGTACGTAGTTAGTTCAGCGATTGATCTACTCGACTGACTGATAGAGTGGGTCTAAAAATGGCAATCGATATTAGGTTTCTATATAGCGATAGCTTTCAAATGAGCTCATCGAAAAGACGATGTGTGCGTATCATGAGTATTTCAGATCTTTTAAGAGGTAATCGAGAAAATCGTGAGAAAAGAAATTCTCATGCGATTAATTAGATAGTCAGTGCGTTGTTTTCCTTGATTTATGCTTAATTAATGTATAATGTTACATACACACATATACATATACATACACATACATAAATGAGCCATATGATTGAACATAAACTTCTAATTACGTTTTATTTTGACAACTTTTTTCGTGTCTTATTGATAATAAATTCTATCTTCAATGGCTTAATGATAATAAAAGGGTGAACGAATGAATATTAACGTCAAGTTCCTCAGATATAATTGCGTGTTTCATGCGACCAATCATTTGGAATGTTTGGGATAAGCAATATAAATAATATTGTATAATGGGGTGGGGTGAGCTTTATAATAAGTTGAAATCACCTGATAAAAGTTGATTAGGTGAAACATCAATCAATAAAGCATACTTGCCAAATATATACTTATAATTCACATATATACAATAGAAGATCTTATATAGCAAATAATACAATGGCGATGATTTATATGCTATAATACCAAAAAAGTAAAGACGAAACCGAACACGAAACTTCTGAATTACGCCCGAATGCGTTATTATTGTCCCCGTTTGTCCGATTTAATTTAAAAAAATCTGAAATTTTTTATTTTTATTTTCTTCGCTTCTTGTAAATTTAAAATAAAATATTTGTAAACTACACATAATTTCCGTTTTTTCTTTCACTTTTTTTTATTCTTCGCCTCTTTTTTATTCTTCTTAGCATTTTTTCACTTTGATTGCTGGTTCAATCGAAATCTTAATTTTCTATAAATCTACATTTGTCTATGATCTATAAATATATCAATCTATACTCATATTATATAGAAATTGCAAACGAAAGTTCTTCTATTCAAAAATTGTATATAGCAAATAAAGGTTAAACCTAACAATAACTTGTTGATCGAAAAAAAATGGCATTAAAGGTCAGTCAGTAAAAAAAACTACGTATTTATTTGTGTAAATATGAAAACCGTTTATTAACGAGCATTTTTCTCATATCATTCATTATCTACATATATAAAATAGTATGAACTTGAGCAATGGGGTGCAGCCGTAGAAGCTTATGATGCGCAAAACTATAATGAATCCTTGAGGATATTTGATGTAATAATTTTTTCCGTTTCCTATAATACGAGTTGGCTACCTTTTAATTATTATCATCATCTAGACTATTGCAGAATCGGCCAAATTTCATTTTAATATGGGATTGATTTACGCGACTATAGGAGAGCACGAGTCAGCGGTAAGTTCGTCACTTTAAATTTGATTTTTTTAACGTTGATGATGCTAAACATTAAGCTAAACTCCAATTTTTTTAGTGTTTATCATTTGGACAGGCTGTGAACTGTGATCGATATTTTGCTGTCGCCTATTTCCAAAAAGGCGTTTCACATTTTTTATTATCACAATTTGACATAGCTCTTCAATGTTTCGATGATGCATTACGAGTAATATATTCATACATATCTATTCATACGCACATATTTTATATACATGATCATTAACAATATGATATTATATTATAAAGCATCTCCGTGGTAACATCTTGATCGATTATGAACAACTCGGGCTAAACTTTCGATTGTACTCCTGTGAAGTGTTATTCAATCGAGGACTATGTTACTTGTATTTCGAACAGACGGAAAACGGGATGAGAGATCTCTATGCCGCGGCGAAGGAAAAAGAAACGGAGGAACATAATGTTATTGATGAGGCTATTGCAACTGGGGGTCGGGTAATTAATTCTAAATGATCATCCAACAAACAATACGATAACTTGCTAAGAATTATAAACTAACCAAAAAAATCACAGGAACTCACGGTGTTTTCTATTCCTGTCGGGATAATATACCGTCCGTCGGAAGGTAAACTAAAAAACGTCAAAACAAAAGATTATCTCGGAAAAGCGAAATTAGTCGCTGCCGTCGACCCAGAAGACGCGTTCACCGGATTCACAGGTGCACAAAAAAAGCAAACTGCCCAATCCAACACCACTACGCCAATAAAACAGGATAAAACTGACGGAAAAGTAGATAACGTTGGTGGAATGGGCTCGTTTCGGCCTAGATCTACGTCGACTGATCCGAGAAAACCGCCGTTTCCTACTTTCAACGGGAATTCGGGCAGAAATCCAAGTCTACGAAGAAATCCTAGTATACCGCTACCTCTTGGTAAGACACTAATGATCATATAATATTAATACGAGCAATCTTTTATTATAATTATATCCTTGTTCAATTTTGCTCTGTTCCGAGAATTCACAAAGTTTAATTCGCACCAAAAAACAAAAACAATATATAATATTAAATAGAAAACTACGTGAAGAAAGCTTACAACAAATGTAAAGCCCATATATATGCGGAGAAAAAAAATACTAAATTGTCGTGTTTTGGAACAGAATTGAACATGGTTAACTATAATCAAGGAGAATATTAGAATTATAATTTAATTCTTCCTTAATCTTCACAAATTTTTTCAGAGAGAACAGCGAAGAATTTTCCTCCTTATATTCAAACGGAAAGAAACCCTTCACCTTCACCGGATGCAAATTCCTATAATCCATTATCTCGATCAAGAAGACTCGAAGAACCTCATCGTTCAAATACAATTGACAGTGGACGTCCATCACCGAAACTTCCTTCTGGGATACAACGTCAAAATTCACTAAGGAATGTAGGAAATTCAGAGTCATTGAAACGTGAGAATTCTCTACAATCAAATAAGGTTCCCCGACGATCAAATACTCAAATGCGTGCACAGTATCTACAGAAACAAATCCAGGTAACACAGAAAAATATGTCTAGTTCGTCTATTTCCAAGGATCCTGTTGCTGAATATTCTTCACAATTTTATCAACAATTTCCACCACCACCAACACGACAACAATTTCTACCACAATCACCACCATTACTATCACCACAGCAACAAAAAACACCTATAAATACCGAAGAAGATCGTAGGATCGAAAGTTTCAATCAATTGTATGATTTCATGTTAAATAATGATGATTATTATAAAGCAGATGACGGAGCAAGTTATAACTCACCAATTCTAAATGGTAAAATTAACAACTTTCGAAACAAAAGCGGCGGCAACTCACTGTCACGATCTCCAAGTTTACGCGCATCACCTCTTCCCAGAGGAACTCCTTTTAAAACTTCTCCATTGAATTTGAATAATAATAGTGATGATAATAGTAATAATAATCCAACTAATTTTCTTTCATCGAGTCCTGAATTTACTACCTATGCTAGTCTAATATTTAACAAAGATGGAGATGATAATTATTTATATGAGGAAGAGGCACAATTCGAAATTGTTACACCTCCACAGCAGCAGCAACAACAACATAATAATAATAATAATAACATGCAAATGCCATTATCATCGACATCGTCCAACTCATCTTATTCTTCGAAACAATCACAAACACAAGAATCATCCGGACCTATTGAAAAGGTTTGGATTTTTATTGATCTCATTACCATTTTATTTTTAAACAAACAATTTCTAACAATATTTTTATTTGGAATTAGTTGAAGATAAAATGTTATTATAAGGACACACGAGTTATTCTTGTTCCGTCATCAATAAAATTCAAAGAACTCCTACAAAGAATTCAAGAGAAATTCTCCTCCTCTTCACCATTCCGACTGAAATATAAGGATGACGATGGTGAAATGGTTATGATGACTGATCACGAGGACCTAGAAATGGCCATTGAGCTGATTTCTGGCGCGACTGGTGGCATTGGAAGAATGGAGGTGAGCTATTTTTCGAAGTTTATTTGTTTGGAAAATGGTAACAATATTTTTTTATTTATATTTATTTTTAATTTTTAGTTGTGGATAATCGAATGTTAAATTGACATCAATGGCTCTATATAATTTTCTTTTCATTTTAAACTTTGGTTTATTATTAGTATTAAATATTATTTCAGCGCATAATATATTTCTAAAATCAAATTTATAGTTTTTCAAATAACTAAGAATCTAGACTGTCGATATCTTTACTTCGTTAGACCATTCAGCTTTATGGGATAATCTGAGTATTCACTGCAGTAGTAATCATTTCGACAACGAGTATAACAAAGTGTATTTTTTTATAATGTATTCCATCAAGGAATTTTTTATTTACCTTGCCCGTATCTTTTTTTGGGCGAAATATGCAAGTTTCTAAAGATAATATCTAGTAAAGTTTATTTACATAATAGCGATAGAATAAGAAAATGACATATTTGAATGACATAATGCTAATGGTTATAAGAATACTTAGAAAATAGATGAAACAAAAAATTAATTAGTTAATCAATTTTTTGGTGGCGGTTTGAGACTTGAAATCAACCCTTTCGATAGGTCTACCTTTTTCGCTTTTGATTGGGCAACCTTCAGCAGATCTAGTTCTTTTTTAGTTGAACTTTTGCTTTTAATTGTGCTGGACTGTAGCGCATATGCTTCTTGAAGAGTCGGGAAAGCAGTTTGATCAGTTAACAGTCGTTTTTTTGATTGAGCGGTCTCCTTAAATTGTCGTTCTTGAGACGGCGAAGACACTAAATAATTATGATGCAATTGTTGAATTTGTCGTTCTTTAAATGCCAACACATTGTATTGCGAGCTCTGCGGAGTATAAGTTACTTGATGCGTTTGTGTGATACTGGGTAACTGCTTTCTAGATAGTTCGCCACGCTCTAGGGATTTCGGATTCTCTCGTAAGTGATATTGGGATTTTATTTCATTTGTTTCCTGCACTTGCGGTGTCTTTAGGATCGGTGATGATAGTTGTTGACTATTCGAAGAGTGTTTCTGAAATTGAATATTATTATTATAGCTTTTTTGCGCTTGCGTTTCTTTGGGAGTTGAAAATATTCGCTTATATGGCAAGCATTTTCCAGAATTTACGTTATTAGGTTGCTCCCCTTGTCGTGATCTTAAATTTTGTTGCGATATTCCTTGATACCTTATTTGGATTCGATGATCCTTTTCTGCTATTTGATGTGACTGTAGGTTCCGAGTTTTCGTCGTGTTCGACATTTTCCCATCTTGTTCTTTATTTGGATCCAATTTGAAAGGAATATCGACATGTATAGCTTTGCGAACAACACCCACATTCTTTATAGAATTAGTGTTATTCTCTTTGATGGATTTTTGTTGAGTCGTGCAACTACTTCCGACTGAAATCGAACCAAAGAATAACGGGGTCTTAGTAGCAGACACTCTTTTTGAATCTTCAGACTGATTGATGCTCGAATTAGCAGATTGCAGACACGTTTCATCGCGTAGATTTTGGTTTATCGATTCAATAACGAAATTAACAACAACCTTATTTTCTTTTGAATCACAGCCAGATTTGTCGCCAGAAGCAGTGATGAGCGCATCAGAAGATCGGATGACAGAACCGTTGTCATATTTAGGGACTGACGGTTGCGATTCATATTCATAGTGAATAAGGGCATTGTTGTCTTGTTCGAAATGTGTACTTTTCGCACTCTCCTCCGTGTATTCGTGCTGATAATAGGTGCTATTGTTACATTGGTCAGTCTCACAGTGAGTTGGTCGGTGTAGAAGTTGTAGAAGCTCAAATGAGGATGATTTCGAGTCATAATACACAAATTGGCCAGACTCATTATGGTTAAGTTGTGAAATGTTTTTATCTGCAATGCTACAATATATAATAGCGTCATCCTTGATCACATTGCCACTGGTCACACTATTGTTGTTATTCGGACTACGGTGTAAATGTCCACCATGCATCGACTCTTCTCGTTTTTGAACGGATTGCGAATTATTATTGTCCATATAAGATATAACATCGTCTTTGAAAATGTTTCCACTAAAAACACCGACATTATTACTGTGATTACCATTCAAATACTCATCTAACAACACGTTGGTTGAAAGTTCCCGCTCTGGACTAAACCGTGAAAAGTCACCATTTCCCGCAATATGATCACAAGTGATAGCATCGCCCCTAATCTTATCATCGTCCACAGTTTGAATTGTAGAATTACTGAATGGTGGTCTGTGATTCTGGTCATGATTGTAAGAAGGATGATGATTCGTATTTATATGTAGATTGCTTTCGGCAAGTGGATTATTGCGTTGAGTTTGCATGTATCCACTACTCTTATAATTTCGATTATTACGGTAATTTCCATTACTTTGCTGATTATTGTAATGGTGATTACTTTGTTTATTATAATAATTATCGTACCTGCGACCATTATTTTGTTCTTTAAATCTTTGCTTGCTCACGTATCCATTATTATACCACCCGTTGATGGGGCTACCTTTCATGAATCTGTTGTTAAACTCTTCGTTATTCACTTGTCCATTACTAAATAGGATGTGATCACGCCCATTATTATTGTTTGCCATAAAACCATTAATCCGTTTAGTGTTATTTAATTGAATATTCTTTTGGCCGATATTACTATTTACACTTGCGCGTCCATTAAGAGAATTGTCCTGTTTGTCATTTGACTTGTTTTTATTATTTTGCAGTGTGTTCCGAGACGAAGATACCTGGTTGTGATTATTATCAGTTGGGAATCGATACTGTTTATAACAATACGCCAAATTAACTTTATTATATAAGATACTAAATGCGCGCCGAAATTCGCCAATAAGTCCTCTGACTGTGACTTCATCTGCACTATTCCCAAGGTTTCTTGCAGTGTTAAAAGGCTCTTCCACGCATAAAAGCCAACCTCGTGAAACCCAGCCCTTTTCTGCTTTGGTTAGATCTTTGCCATAGCGTATTGAAATTACGTGATTATTGTAATCGAACTCATATGCAAACCTAAATAAAAATATATTAATATAAAGCATCAAACTTTATTATTATGTTAAGTAGTGTGCAAATCTACCGCCTGAAGAACGCGAATAAAAGTCCACCAAGAGATTCCTTATTCGCATCACCAAATCCACGCAGCGACTCAACGTCATCATAAAAAGTAGTATCACAGCCGTCAACATATATATGTTCTGTACCAGTTTCCATTTGATGTAGAATTGGCAGTATTGGCTGAGCGCGCATTTGCATGAAATTCAAAACCATTAAAGTCCATGTGTAGGTAGAAATAGTACCACCTTTTGCTATTTTATAAAAATAAATTGAAACATGAATTACTAATTACGAAAAAACAATAATCTGATATTATAACATTACTTACCTGCATCATTAATTGCACGCTGTTTGGCCCAATATTTTATGATCATCGCCAGCGGACGTACTCTCGGATCGATATTTACATATGTCTTGATGAGTCGAGTATTATGTAACGCCAATGTGTTATTAACATTAACATCGCATGCAATCCGCCTACACAACGAAATAATATATTGTTCAATTTTTTCAATCCAGAGAGCAATAACTTCGATTAATCAATTCAAATACACTTACAATTCGGGATCCCATAATTTTACGATGGGAACCTTAGCTTTTGGAATACAAGATACCTGCTTCATACCATCTAAAATTGATGTTTAGAAAGAAAATTAGAAAAATTCTTAATACAAAGTAATAGGCAATTTAATAATATAATTATTTAGACTTACGCCTACGAAACAGTCTCGCCAATACTTGGACTTGTTGAAGTCCATTCCACTCTGTGGTCACACATAAGTCGACATCGGAATCTGAACTACCGAGATCGTTTTTGAAAGATCTATATATTTATAAGTTAATGATGATAAAAATCAAATCAATAACGTTGACATACACGGATAAACGAATAAATTAAAGAAAAGATAATCTAATTACCCAAACGCATGCACTTCAATTCCGTATTCAGGAAATTCGGAATTCAAAATCAACTGAATTTTATTGGTGAAGATTTCTTTACGCCGGATACTCTCGGCTGTTGGAAGTAATTCCTAGTTGATCATAAAAACAAATAAATAATTAGAAATATAAATGTGCTAAAGAAATGAATTTGATAATGTTGAAAAATGAACATACTTCATAAAGTGCTAACATATCGACAGATAGAGTATCTTCTGACTGTTGTGAAAGCATGATAGGTTTTGATTGATTGACCTTCGCTAAAGACGTGTGTATTTTCAAGCCATTATCATTTCCGTATTTATGAGATTGATTATTGTGTTTATGATGCGAAACAGTGTTAGGAAGAGAAACCACTTTTCGAATGTCTGGTTCCGTCGTGTTCACGATAGCATTATTGTGTAAATAAGAAAATTTTGGCGAAGACAAAGTATGAATGTCCTCGGTATTTTCGCGAATCGGTTCGTTACTACTATCGTGTAGCTCTATAACATTATTACTAACCGATATTATTTGTGGTGAGATTGTTGGCTTTGGTTGTGACTGTGAGGTAGCTTCGAGTGTCATTATGATTTACTGTGGCGATGTTATTAGGGCCAAATGGAATTCTTTGTTTATTTGCCAACGAGAAACAAGAACTACCTCAATCAGTTAAGGGATTAAAGAGAAGAATAGTGAAGATTATAACGTAAAAAAAAAGCTTTCAGCACTAATAAAAACGAATGTAAGGTTAAAAGCTTTAATTGAATAGCTCGAATGAAGAGTTTCTAAGCAACCAGCATTTGAAAACTCGTTGCTGTGAAAAATGTAGAGAAAAAGAAAGACCAAAGAATAAGAGTAATAGCTATGATAAAATATTGGAATTTCTCTTCCTCCCAATGAAATTTCCGATAACAAGCACCCAATAAAATTTTATTGGTGATGGATGAAATTGCACGATCTCTAACTTCCCAATCATTAAAGTGCTAGTGTGCGAGTTTTTGTTGTTTTTATTTGTGTGTGTAAAGTGTAAGTGTTGTGAATCCAGTTCACAAATTAATAATTAATAATTATAACTATAACTATAACTATATAAATTAAAAAAATACAAAAATCATCATTCGTTCGTTCTTTTTCTACCACAGCTAGATTTCTTCACAATTATTAAAATATTCATACATATAATAGCAATTAATTAAAAAAAAATAAATACAATTTTAATGGTAATAAACAATTAGTGATGATGATTAATTTATTGATTAAAATCCCAAATAATAAATAAAGTAATAAATAACAAAGAGTTTGTTAATTAAATTAACGGTAAATATAATTATACATTTTGAGATTGTGAAGAAATCTAAATTAAATGTTCGTGGTAGTAATGTTTTTGTCGCAGAATTGAAATGATTTGTGCATTTGAAAATTTTTTGAGAGGGAGAGAGAGGATTTTGATGACAGCTGAAAAAAAGGAAAGATAAAAGAATGATATATCCCGGATTTACTCCATGGTAAATGCATCCCTATCTTCAACTCCCAAAGCTCTCATTACTTGCTCCAGTTTTTCTTCAACAGTCATACCAATCCCACTAACACTAATAACGCCGTCATCATTAACGTCTTCAAATCTTTTTTCTTCATCAGTAATTTCGCCGTCATAACTATATCCACCAACCCCCCAACCTAAGTCAACATTTCCCAGCCCTTTAGTCATTTCTTCTAACAGTCGCGGCAAAGGAACATCTTTTGCTATATAGACACTAGTTCGCGGTATAATGTTTGTACCATCCTCGTAAGAGGAAGTTGAACCGGTAGAATGTGTCCATTGTTCATGTAAAACTCGATTAGAACTACGATTAATACTACTGTTATGTATTGAAGATGGCTGTATACCGGGTAATGAATTCAGGTAACCACCTTGGCGATAATCAAAACTATTTAATTGAGAATCAAGTGTTCGTAATTCTGATTCCATCATTTCCTCATCGTCACTTGCGCCAAGTTCTCTTGCCCACATCTGCGAGTCGTTATACTCTTCCTCGTCACCGGCATTATAGAAGTAGCTATACCGATTTGCCATGTCATCCCCGCGGAGTCCATTTACCACTTGCCATATCAATGAACCGTCGTCCAATTCTAATAGTTCTACGTGCTCCTCTTTCTCTAGCTTTTCGACCAAATCTCTTTCATTAAAATTTATTGGTACGATTGTGCCTGGATCTATTAGCTCTTCTTCATCGTATACGGATATGGATTCTCGTTTTTGATATTCTTGATCACTTTCTTCGTAATTTTCATCTGCTTCAACATGATGATTAATGTCTGAATTGACTGATTCACCAATTTTAGTTTGTTCTTCCTGATTTTGTTCTTTATTTTGTACATCTTCAATATCTTCCCCTTCATCATCAGCACCTTCTTGGTCGGAATAGTCATAATAATCGTATAGACTTTCGCCATATGAACTGTGTACACTTTTACCGCCCATTGATTTACGTTTACGACTTCCAGATGATAATGTGGATGACATACTTGCCTTGCTACTTCGTTTAGCGAATAATGGAGCTTTCAATGAGAGAAAACTATCGCGTTTATTGGGGATGGGTGGTATTGGGATTCCATACGGAGGTTCCAAGGTACTTTGCCGAGAGCCGGGCGATGGTATTGGAGTCGGAGGTCGATCGATTAATTTTCGTTTAATCGGCACAGCGAGAAATTTTGAAGAGTCCACACTATTATCATTACTGCTATTATTCGTTTCTGATGCAGTAGATTTTCTGTCACTATTATTGCCGGTCGAATCATTATCACTAATAGTGTCTTCGGACACTCCATAATTAGTATTTTTATTATCATTTTCAGCTTCATTATTATTGCCACTATTACTACCATTTTTAATATCTGATTTTATTGATCGTTTCTTTGCCGAATCCTGTTCCTCTTTTGCTATATACCATTTCTTACCATTCGAACCAACATGTACTCCACCGTCTAGATCAATCTTTTTCTTTCGTAGCGAAGCTTGCCGACTAGCTCGGTGTGCCAATTTTATCGCAACGGTGGCTTCAGCGCGACCAATTTCTGATATTCCTGATTCATTTGCTTCATCAGGTAACGGCGGTAGAGATGACTTTGTGATGATAATAGTTCGACGGATAATTTTATTTCTGGGCTTTTTGTTTCCATTTGTGGAGTTTGATGGAATATTACCCGATTTATTATTATTTTCACTAATGTCATCGCTATTACGTTTATCAGTGATAGAATCAGTGGTATTATTGCTAGTTCGTTTATTTTTGCTGCTGACGCCAAAACCTTTTCCACTTCCACTATTGAAAATTGACAATAGACGAGAACCTCTTGATCCTCGTTTGTCACCTCCATCCGATGTACGATTACTCTTCACAGAATTATTACGACTGGATCTTGATTCTGCAAGTTGATTCCACTGAAGGCGAAGACTATTCTGTGGAGTTGAACTACCACGAAGTGGATTACGTGGTGCAATTGGTGGCGGTGATATTCTACCTGAAGTTGGATCGCTTACGATAGAGGTTGGACTGTATGGCGATAATGGACTCGATAAACTGTCTGATCCAAAAGTATCTCGTGATCGATTTTGAATTGGTTGCGACTGAGGTATCTCAACACTAAGTTTCAGTGGTAATGGATTTTGCGTGATATTTTCAGCATATGTTGGTTCTTGTATTGTCTCATTCCGTTCTTCAATATTAGTAGAAATTTCATTATCATTTGCAATTTCATTTTCATTATCTCTGTTTAACGATGATTTCTTGTCAGCTGTTGAACTGTTCGACGATGAATCTCGAGAAGTTTCCGATTGAGAAGATGTTCGTGTTTCTGATCCTGTTTTTTTGACACTAGAATATTTTGTCACCATTTCTGCATGTCGTTTAATACCATCAATATCATACAAAGGCGCCAGCCTATCTGACGATTCACTCTTTTTCGGAATTTTATTTTTATTACGACTCGGATCTTTTACTAATTCTGAATCGCTTACAACCCACCTACTCTTATTATATAGAGTTTGCGACAAAGGAACTTCATAGTTGTTTATATCATTATGAACTACCCTACTTTTTTCTGATATTTCAGGCTGTATATCTGTCAAGAGTGTCGTGTTATTATTAGTATTTACAAGGTACGCAAGATTATTAACGTTTTCTATGCGACCACTGTGATGACTATCGATTGTTGTTTTGTCTTCGGTACCATTATGTGTCTTTCGATTATATCGATTTCTCAAATTTTCATCGGAAATAAATTTTCTCGGTAAATTCTCACTAGAAGAATTAGGTGTCAACGATTTTTTTTGCTTCTTGCCATTTTTTGTCACTTCGTGATCATGACTGAATACATCTTTGAGCTTTCTCGAGAATTTTTTCCCAAGGCTCGACTCAGAATCTCGCAACGAGAATTTTCTTCGAAAATTACCATTTGGGCCGCTATTCTGTATATCGTCTTCACGCGACAAATGAACAATCGGAACACTTTTCACATTCGAAGAGCTAGATACAAGATGTGGCGTGGAAATATCCTTTAGGGCTATATGTTTTTTAGGTCTTCGTAGTGGTTGTTTATTGAACTGAGGAATGGGCGACGGAGTAGGGTCATTCGATGAGGAATTTCGTGCGCGTCTCGTTACTAATACTTGATGCGCGATATCTGCTTGTCCGGATGCGATTAGTATGTCGGTAAGAGATTGTTTTGGTGGTTGTGGTTTTGCAGGGGGTGGTTTTTTATTACTGCGTGAAGAACGTTTGACGGTTTCTTTTTTTATTGGATGAGGTGATGATGTTGTAATACCACTAATACCACTAACACCACTACCACTTAAGCCAGTCGTGGTATGCATCTCTGGAAGTTCAGTTTCATGTTCTTCGTCATGCTCATCTTCTTCATTTGAAGCGTTTATTGTTTGCATTTTTTTTTCTTGTGATATTGTACTATTATTCACTTGTTTAATGCGCTGTAACGATCTCCCTATTGATGATCCAGTAGAAGAACGATCAGTCAATACATTAGAATTATTTGGTATAGCTCTATGACTAGGTGGGTTCTGCTGAATCTGTGACCGATCTGTTTGCTCCTTATGCGCTGCCGCTGGATTATACACTACATAATTATCAGAATTCGAAATAAATGATCCCCCATCCTTAAAAGTATTATATTCATTATCATCAATAGAATTCATCGACAGCATTGAAGTCTGCATCATACTCATGGCAGAAGACATAGAATCATTAGCAAATTTGGCGGAAACAGAGGGATTTCGATCAAAAGCAGCAGATCGAACTGTCAAAGATTGGTGAGATCCGGATTGTTGTTGCTGCTGTTGTGAGAGTCTGATGAGCCCTTGAGATAGTTTATCAAGAGGGGAAAGAGGGAGTGGTGGTGATAGTATAGATTCGGATACTAGACGAGTTATTTTGGGTGAAGAAGAAAATATTTGGTTAGTTTAAGAATAACTAGGATTGGTGATAAATAATAACGTTTGTCAGAACCAGAACGGAAGAAAAACCACAAGGAACTACCGTACATTGAGATTGAAAAGCCTCAGGCAATCTAATTGGCAATGGTATGTGCTGTTCTTCCTGCTGTTGTTGTTTTGTTTCCCCTGAATCACCAGGAAGTTGAGATATTGAGGGTTTTCGTGATTTCGGCGGGAATGGACGATCTTTTGTCAGATGTTCTAATAGACCAGATTGTCGTTTTCTTGCTCTCATATCTAGTATATTATTTGTTGACGATTTTTGCAATGATTCGTTATTATTGAAATTACTATTCACATATGTTGATTTGTCGATTTCATCATTTTCATTTTTCTCGATGTCATTAACATTTGGATCTGAAACATTAGTAATAATTGGTTCTTGATTTGACTGTGACAGAGATGATAGAGGTGGTGATTGAGGTAGGGGTGGTGATTGAGGTAAGGGTGGTGATTGAGTTGCACCACTATTATAATAAGATTTCCGTGAATTAATAAATTCGTTATGTAGTGATGACGACATTGAAGTTGTGACAGAAGAAGGTGGTGTGTAAGATGCCATTGAAGAAATTGACGCGGAATCATCCTCGATATATTCCACAACGTTACTCAATGGCGAACGTGATTTTGATGAAGAAGAGGAAGTGATAGAGATAGTATTAAAACTCTTTTTTGAGGGTGCAGGTGACGATGGTAGAGTTATTATTTCGAGATTATTCGTATCTTTATCTTCCCATCCTTGTTTTGAAGATATTTGTGATAATGGTAGCGGAGGGATTGTTGAATTTATTGTTGTTGATGTGTCAGGAGCTATTATTGATGTTGAGTGTATGTTATTATCATTCCTGCTGTTAATAATACTATGATTGTCAGTGTTTTCTCGTTCTTGCCCATGATTTCCGCTATTATAAATTGTGGAATCAAAATTATTATTACTATTATCATTACCATTCTCATTATTATTATTATTATTATTATTATTATTATTATTATTATTATTCATAGAGACATCATCAGTAATTTTTTCATTTGATATTATTGTATTATTACTATTGTTATCATTCACGATCATTGTGCCATTAATATTGTTATTGACTGGCAGATTTTTCAGTGGACTATCAATATAAGTTGTAGTACTAATCGTTGTAGAAGTATCTTCAGAATTCTTAAGTTGCGATATACTACTACTACTATTATTATTGTTGTTGCTGTTGTTGTCAATATGACTGCTATTATTCTCAACACCATTTGGCTGCTGTTGATTTTCACCACGTCTTAAAACACTAAACCGTTTCGTTAACGTAGGAAGGATGAGCGAAGTTCGAAAATCTGAAGAGGGTAAAAGATTCGGCAGGTCATTATTTATAGTATTAGATTCTGTTGTTCCGGATCCTCCAGGCTGCTGTTGTTGCTGCTGATGGTAATCCACTATAGATTTTTTGAGGTCTTGCTTTTTTCGAAATCTGTGCATTTTCTCTGATTGTTATTCTTTGAAAAATCCTTTCTCTTAATCTACTTAAACTACTATAATCAAATGGTCTTGGTGGTGATTGTTGGCAAACGCACAAAACGAAAAGAAGCTTGTTTTGTCGTGTATAAACACTATGTAAAAGAGCAGAATTATATGTTAGAAAAGCGGAAAAATTTTATTATTTATTTGAATAAAAATGAGGAACCTTTTTCTCTCGTGTCTTCTTTGTAGTTCTTTTTGCGAGCTGTCAGTGAAAAAAACCCGAAATGGTTAGTCAGTAACCCATTAGTTATTGTTAAGATGGCGGTGGGGTTGTTGAGTGGTAAAATAAAAATTATATGTGTTAGTGGAAAAAGTTTATTATTATTATATTTTATAATATATTACTAGTCGTGTCCGGGAAGAATGAAAGACGGGGGTGAGGTTGGGGATAATAGAAGTGAAGTATGTATGGTGTAAGTGCGCGTTTATGTGTGTGCGCTTGTGTGTATGGAATATGAAAGGATAAAAAGCTCTATTAGAGTTTATTTTTTTTGAGCAGGTTGATGAATTTGTTCGTGATATCTTAAAAAAAATGTTCCAATTAAAAAATGGTAAATATGTCGTGTATTCTCCGTTTACTTATTCAACTAACTTAATCAACGATTCTATTATTATTTATATTAAACTTGCGCTCAAACTGTTTAAAAGGTAGATTCCAATTTACTAATAAGGAATTATTGTGAATTTCCCAAATGCCAATAGATAGTTAGATAATAAATTGCCTTGGAGGGAAACGATCGTTTTATTGTGTAATAACAATTATGAGAAAACTTTTATTTAATTAATTATTTTTATTTTAAGAATATATATGCATATATATATAAATTCGGCCATATGCACACATGTATGCCACACATTTCGATTTCATTATTTTCATCATCGTACATAATATCGTTGTTATGGTCATTTTTTATTGTTTGTTGTTAGAATTTAGTTGAATCTCCACGAGGATTTCTTTGTTTTTTTTTGGTGCAAGCATGGTAGATACAACATGTTTGTATGTGTATATAAAGAAATTTACAATAAATAAAATAAATGATAACGATCACAAAGACACGAGTGAATGCTGTTTTTGTCTCTTTTTAAGACACACTTGATAAAAAATTCTTATATAAGAGAGCTTTTTCCCGACCCAAATCAGCGTAGTAAAAGAATCCCTCGTCATATGAAAGAATTATAACAGGAGTCAGCTGTAATTCAGATCCCTTGTAGTAAAAATGCAATACCAAAAATACCCCTGTTTTGGAGACAATTCTTTTGTCCTAGTATAAAGATAAGACTATTTACATAATCCGCTATCTACGATGATTTTCTGCGTTAGGATGGAGATTCTGCAATGTCTTGCATTCTGCAGAAAATCATCGTCCCTGCACCTATCAAATCAAGAGATCTTCATTCATAAAAATAATAAAAAAATTATGATGGCTAGTTGCATCTCGATTCATGCTGTATTTAAGAGGCTTAAATGTAAATTAGAACAGTTTATCGAGTAAGACTACATGGAAGTATTTGTAACAAATCAAATGCCAGCATGTCTATTTGAAATTTAAGTTTATAAATTTATTATATTTACATTTATCATCATCATTTGGTTATTATCATTTATTATTATTATCATTATTATTATTATCGCTTGGTGGTGATTGTTGTTGATGTTGATATCCGCCATTTGCCCCTCCATCAGGATTAGGTTGATTATACCCACCTGGAGCTGGATTCCATCTTTGTTGTTGTAAAGGTGGAGGACCTTGTTGATATCCTCCCATCACCATCATTTGTTGTTGCGGTTGTAATGGTGGTTGTAATTGCTGTTGAGGAATTTGCTGTTGTATCCATTGAGCTTGACCACGTGGGTCAGGATTTTGATATCCAATAATATTTTGTTGCTGCTGTTGCTGTTGTTGCTGTGGCGGCGGTGGTGGTTGTTGTTGTTGTTGTTGTTGTTGTTGTTGAGGATGAGGTTGAGAAGGTGTGATTAATTGTGACTGTTGCTGCAATCCAGGCTGATGCTGTGGCAATGGCTGATATGACGGCTGTTGTTGTGGAGGTTGCTGCTGATATCCTGGTATAGCTTGTGGCGGTGGTCTTTGATACATTCCACGCGATTGATCTTGATATGTTTGCTGTGGCGGAGGCTGTTGTTGAGGTGGTAATGGATATTGTTGATAGTGTCCCTGATACGGTTGTGATTGATATTGCGAGTAAGGTTGTTGTTGCTGCTGCTGCTGCTGCTGCTGCTGCTGCTGCTGTTGTTGCTGTTGTTGCTGCTGTTGTAATTGTTGTTGAGATGGAAGTGGCGTTCTTTGACTATAATATCCTGGACGTTGATGAGGATATACTTGTTGCTGTGGTTGCTGAGGAGGAGGAATTTGCCCAACTGGTGGAGGCATTGATTGTTGTGTAGGTGGTGGTGGCGGTTGTTGTGGAGGAGGATATTGTGACATCGAAGGAGGTGGAATATTTTGTGATTGTGGCTGAAATGAATCAGCAATCCCAAATCCTCCAAGACCTGGTAAATCATTATTTGAAAACGATGTCAAAACGTCAATGTCCATTGATTGTTGTGATGGTTGTTGTTTAGTAGGTTGCTGCTGTTGTGGATAAGAATCCGGGTGTCTTTGGGGAGCGAGTGGAAGCGGAAGACCATATAACGCTGACGAAGTAGAAGGTTGACCAGGTACAATCGGAGGACTATATGTGTTCATACCAGGTGCATTAATAAATGTGAGTCCAGGCACGAAATCATCTTCTTCCTCTACATCGACGTCTTTTAATCCCAATTCCTCGGCTTTCTGTTTACCCACATGGAATTTATCTTGTACCGAGTCACCGGGACGCGGTCGAGTCCAAAATCGTGTAGTGTGATCGTTCGAACCTGATACTAGTATGTGGCCTAGTGGGTGCCAATCGAGTGACCAGACGTTATTTTCATGTGCGTATTCTACCGAGTCGATTGGTCCTGCATCTTGTCTGTTTATTTTTTATTGTTAATAGCAAATAAGATATGATAATGGTAATAGTATATAAGAAAAATAATGTATACCCGACTATCCAGAACATTAATGAACCTTCAGATCCACCGGTAGCAAGAAGTTGTTCGTGAAATGGATGCCACGAAATTGCTATTAAATGACAATAATAATAATTAATAATTTTAATATAAGAAAACGATACAAAAAACCCCCAACATAACTTACAACAGACTTCCTTCTTATGCCCTCTGAACGTCTGTAAATCCTTCATCATTCGAATATCGTAAACTTTTATAAGTTGATCTCGTGCCGCCGTACCAAGCCAATTACCATTCTTGTTCCATTGAAGGCCGACAATTGTGTTTTTGTGGCCGTGTCTGTTTTTGCAGTTGTTGGGAATTATTGTCATATTCGGTAGATAGATTTACAAAAATTTCATGCATCAGATAATTACAAAGTATCGACATTTTTCCCGCTTTTAGGATCCCAGAATTTTACTAAATTATCTTTAGCACCGGATGCGAGTAATGCTTTATATGGATGCCAGCCAACTGCTTTCACGTCTCCACCATGACCTATGATTTATTTTCGGTATTTAATTTTTGTTATATTATTTTAGTTAGTATGATTAGTAAGATAAAATGAAGGAGTACTTGATCAGAAGGCAATGAGCAAAGAAAACAATAGAATTAATTACCAGATAACACATTTTCCTCGATACCTTCATTGAAATCCCAGATCTTTATAGTACCGTCGTCTGAGCAAGTAGCAAATTTATTATCGGTTGGGGCAAATCTATATTTTTTATGTGTATGATTGATTATCATCATCGTTATCATAAAAGATAATTATTGATACAACAAAAGACAGAAACTCACGATAAATCCCGTATTGCTTCCTTATGTCCATTAATTATCTTTAAATTATTCATGTTCGATTGCCAGTACTTTATGATCCCTTTGTGATCGGCGGTAACCATCCAGTCGTCGTTATGAGACCATTTCATCGCTCGGACTGCTGATTCGTGGGCCTTTTTTAATGTTATTAATTATATTGTGAAAGTTGTTAAAATGATAATTTTGTTTTTCATATGACCGAAGCATATACGAACAAAAAGAAAAAAATGTATGTGGTAGAGCAAAATGATATTTATTGAAAATAATTAATATTCGAATTTTTCGATGACAATATTGAAAAATACTCAAAGAACCAAGAGATTTTTTTTAAAAAAATAGGGTTTTTATTTGAATCAATAAATTTTCCTTGTCTCTTTTACATTAGGCCACGCAAAGTAGGATTTTCGGTCTTTTCTATATATCATCATCACCTCATAAACGATGACCTCGTATTTTCCCTCCGAAAATTTCTTTTAATTTAATTTTTTAATATTTCTATTTTTTGTATGATCTGATATACAATCCGGAAAGTTATGACGTGGTGTTGATGTATTTTTATTAGCGGCCGAATGCCTCCGTAATTTATTCCAAATTCTGGAGATCTCAGCCTGAAACCCAAAATCTACTTTGCATGGCCTATAATTTGTCTTTTTTAATGTTTAGTAAACAATCTCACATCAAATATTGGGATAATAAAGAACATACATATACACGTATAAATAGCAATCATCCGACTCAAAAAATTAAACTCAAAATATGAAACACAATTTCTCATCATTTATCAATCGAATCATACCTGTAAAATCGTCTCAAAATTAAACGTTAGTCCATTCCACAACGTGAACTCGCCACTAGAAAGTCCAGTGATTAGTCGTCTTCCCTCTGGTGTCCACTTTTTAGCGTTTAATTATTTGTTAGTCTATAACAATAATTTTAGGATAGATCAAACACGCGGAAATTTATTTACCCGTACTACAAACACAGGATACCGATTCTTATTTGTCGATGTGTGAACGAATTTTGTTGTTACCGCGTTTACTGGGTTATGTAGATAAGCTGATGGTGGAAGAAGCTATGATTTATTATCAAGAAGTATTAATTGTTGAAGAATATTTAAAAAATTGGGTGCCAAAAGCAATGAATGGGATTAATAAGTACAAACATCTATTATAAAGTTCGTGTCTGGTCTTAATATCTTTATATCTCTTCTATCACGCATCCACACTCGATCCTATTACTCGCAAAAATCACATAAGAAAATCAATAATAATAAAAAATCAATAATAATAAAAAAACAAAGTACACAAAAAAAAGCGTTAACTCAAAAAATATAATAACCACCTGCAAATATTTTCCTATCGAGCAATTAAAATCAACCGTGCGTCGTTGAATAGCTTTTCTCATTCTCTTACCATCGAACACCATCCGTTGTGCATTCTGATAACTAGTGAACCCTGTTCGTCCGCCATACCGTTTTCCATATGCACCAGCTGCAGCAGCCGCGGCCGCCCCTCGATCAAACGAGGTGGGGGTTGCACTTGCGCTCGTGTTCTCGGTGTTTGGTGTTGAAGACTGTAGAGTTCCGTCGTCGTTTAGGGCAACTTCGGGGTCTCCATTACCATTGTTATTACTGGTGAACTTTAATGAATCGAACCCTGTTGAAGAAGCAGAAGCCTCTTCTTTTATTTTTATTAGTGTTGGGTCTGCTAACGAGGCATTATCCAAATCTCCCTCTTTTATTTTGTCTGTATTATTTGTGTTTTCTATCATGTTTGGCATATCGATATGGTAGATTGTGTGGCCTATCTGTATCATTGATGTATATTTGTCACATGATTTTAGAATTACAGTCAAAAGTTTCGGGAAGTCTACGGACAGTGCATAGGGACAGTGCAAAATCATGTGATCTTTCCGGTCCAGTGTCGGACAGTACTTAG